CTCTTTTTTTGTCCCATCGTTAGGGTTGTTTTGGCCCGGGGGAGGGGGCGGGGGCCTACTTTCTCATATGATGCGGACCCACTAGTTAGTCAAAGGGGAAGAGAAGGCGACCAGGACCTCCTGAGGGAACCAAGGACTAAGGATGAGAGGCTAAGTTCAAAGGATCCGTTTTTCTAGGACTGCGAGCAGCTTTGCCTGGCGGTGCGAAGGGCCTGTGGCACAATGAAGGTGCCACTGCCACTCTGAGAGCAGCCAGAAGGGCCGGACTGAAGTTGGGGATGTGTCAAAAGAAAATCAAAGATGGTGATCTCCATTTCGGCCCCCTCGAACAAGCCCTGCAAACCAACTCCCCCCCACTCAGCTACACGAAAAAGACATCAATGACATGACGATGTAAGTCAAGTGAGTAAAACCGACCTTTTGGGCCTTTTGTTTCTCGCTGGTGTAGTGAATGTCAAGTTCCCCAATGGGAAAACTTTGTTTATCCCCGTTTCCTTTTTGGACGTGCGTGGCTATGGATCATTTGGGCGGTCCCTCAAAGAAATGAGTGTCCTTCTGGTGTCCCTTTTGCAACAAAAAAGTGGGGGTTGATGAAAGGGTCCTTTACATGAGATGACCATGGGGAAACCACTGCAAACAGGATATTTCCCACTAAATGGGAAACGTTACTCATGGTCATTTGGGGGCCAGGAATATTGATCAACCCCCAAATGGGGTTTTATACATCACCTCCTGGTGAGCCACGAGGCACCCTGCGTGAAAAGCTTGCGCAAGCACAGGTTTGTCTCAGAATGGCGACCCTGACAAAATAGTTGGTGTCCCTTTTCCCGATTTAAAACGACCCCGGACATGACATTTTGGTATCACTCTAGAAATATCCCCCGAAAAGTGCAATACAAGAGACTGAAGAATGACCCCTTCCTGTGGTTGCGACTTATACAATTGTTTTTATGGTACCCCCAACCCCCCATGCTTTATTTGTTAGCCTGGCATATTGCCAAGTCTGGAACAGACGTCCCGGAGTTCCAGATGAAACTTCAGCCAGGTCTTTTCTTTTGGGCACTGTCGCGCTGCCCCAAAAATTGGGGACCGACCACGGTTGGGAAGCGATTGAGAGCGTGTGCCTTGCGAGGGAGCTCCTTGAGAGCGCGTTTGGCGCTGTGAAAAGCCGACGGATTGAGCCCTTCCACTTGTTGACCAGTTCAAGCAATATGGGTATGGGTCAAAATTGAACCAGACCGCAGGTTTTGATCCTTGTTTCCATCCAGGGGTCCATTTTGGGCACCTATTTTTACCTGCAGCCATATGTTCATTACGCACACTTCTTCGCAACACTTCCGCCACAGCGAGCGGCTGCGTGCTGAAGCTGCTATTGCTGCGGCCAGCAGCCTAAAACTATTCCAGGTGTTCAAGGTGTTTTGTGAGTTTCCCTGCTTTTTTGAAGGAAGCTGGCATGGCTGGAAATGTATGATTTGGTGGCACGAAAAGCAACTGGCGGAGGCTTCTTGAGTGCAGAGAGATATGTTGGTTTGTTGTTTGGAGGCCCTGACCATGAGAGTGTCCTGTCTTGGGCGGGTCTGAACATGTCCGCGCAAATGATAACAAGCTTGCCAATCAGGTGAAGCCAGCTTGTGCCTCATGAGGAAGGTTTTTCGCTTCGGGGGCTTTATTTCTGTGCTACGACATACCAGCCGCTCATGACCCCCAAATGCAGAACCCTGACCTTTCGGGGCCTTCAGCTCTCTTGGCGCCCTCAAGACTCAAAACAGATCAGGAGCCTTAGGGTATATTTTGTCCAGATGTTCTCAGTTAGACGACCTGTTTCTTGCGATGCGAGTTGAAACTCGCCGCTTTTCCCAAGCAAGCCTCCTTTCGATCGTTTTTTTGTTTGTGATGCGTTGTCTGCAATTGGAGTGACTTCGCGGGCTGAAACGTTTTCGCCCTTCGGAATCGGTCTTGAATTTGTCTGGTTCCTGGAAAGTGTGGTCTAGAAAGTTTGGTTTCTGACTTCTTGGTTTCTCTTTCGCTACCAGCCAGAGGCTCCATTTTGAGAATCACCGATCTCATTGGTGAGTGGCGCCAATGGCATGTGCAGAAAAGATCCTCGAGACCACAGCCAACTCTACGATTGGAATGGGAAGATGAAGCTGGAGACCTCCTAAAAGCATCCCGAGAATGGGAACTCCTCCCATCTGCTGACCAGAAATTCCGGACCTGGTTGGTCAAGCAGAACCACGACGCATTCTTGCAGGCGTGTGTGGACCAAATTTGAACTGAATGCTGCCGCATCCGCATTGTTAGCTACATATCTGCATGGTTTACTGCAGATGCCTTGCTTCATGTTTCAACAACAAACACGTGCAAGACGATGCTCTACCGAGCAAGTGCCTATGAACTTCAGAGGGAAACCCCTCCAAGCTGGTTGGTGCACATGGTCCCCAAATTTTCTGGATGTCCACCAAATGAAACAAGCAAACGTTGTACCCATGTACAAGACAATCCACAGAAGCCAAGCCTCGCTACGGTCACCAGAGATCAGCGCTGCTTTGCCGCCCGGAGAGCGCGCCTTTTGGCGATGCGGACGCTGGCCGTTCTACTTTTGGTCATTGGAGGCATCGGGAAGTGGGGTCTGGAAGTGGCAACCGTATTTGTTTCTAACGTGAGATCTTCCAATTGGAAACCTGCTCATGGCAAGTGAGAACCAACCTTGATTGAATTGGGCTAGAAAATTCCCTGCAAACAGTGGCGGTTCAGGTGAAACTCTACGCTGTTCATCAACGTGGGTTTCGTGGGTGGGAGGTGTCCAAAAAATGGCGCCTCGTATAGGGGATGCCAAAAAGGGGGCCCTAAGTTTGAGAATCCTCCATGTCGCTCTGAGTCCACCTATGTTTGCATGCTTCTTAGCTGAGTGACGCCTTTGCTGTTGTGTGTTGAACAGGTTCACTCTTGAACATCATAAGCATGGTCCTCCTGGCGTAGCCGAGGCTTTATTTAAAGGAGGGGCATCTTTTGGATTTTTCCCCGTTTTTCTGCGGGATGATTTCCTGGATTTTGCGTCTTCTTGGAGTCTGGGCTTTTTGGCTTGTGCCTTTTTGGGCTCTTGGCTTTTTGGCTTTTGGCTTTTTGGCTTTTCGGCTTTCGGCTTTTTGGCTTTGCGGCTTTTGGCTTTTTGGCTTTACTTTTTGTGGCCTTTGTGGCTTTGGCTTCCGCATCCTCAGCATCACCCGTAGCACCCCAGCATCACCGGCTTTTGGCTTTTTGGATTTTTGGCTTCTCACCTCCCGTGTTTCTGAGATGGGGGCTGCTGCCGCCCCCCCCCCCCCAACCCCGCCGCTTCTTTGAGGCAACGAACCCCCAGGAATCCAACGCCCACCCTAAACTCACGGTTTGGCACAAAAACACCCTAAACCAACCCACCCTAAACCACCACACCCTAAACCACCACTAAAACTAGAACCAACCTTAACACCAAACCCGAAAGAAACCTTACACCAGCAAGACTCCCTAAAGAAAACCCTAAACGAAACCACCCTAAACCAGCAATAGACTATCCGTCAACCAACTCTAAACCTACCCTAAACCCACCCTAAACCCCAACCACCCTAAGCCAATCCCGAAACCCACCCTAACCCAACCCTAAGTCTGCACTAAGTTTGTATGATACTGTATTGATGCTGGTTTAGAGTGGGTTTGTATTACACGATGCGCACTAAACCAGCACAAAGCCATTGCTAATAAGGCCACCTTTAACCACCCCCACTAAGCAAACCCTATAGCACCCCAAAGCAACCCCAAAACCAATCCCTAACCCCCCGTACACCAGCACTAAACCCAAACTAAACCCTTTCTAAACCCACCCCGAAGCAAACCCGACACCAACCGCCCCCTACTCCCTCAAATAAACCAAACCAACACTAAACCTAAACACAACCGAACCGTTTTGCATTTAACCTCCAGTTTGACGCTATGACCGTGAACAACACCTCGAGAAGAAATCAAGGGGGAAAGCCTTTGCAGTTGAGATTCTTTTCGAAACCCCGCAGATGCGGGGCGGGTTCAGCCTTTCGTCGACAAAGGGAGTTGCCAGCCAACTAGTCAAACGCACTTCCCTTTCGAGGTCCCTTTTAGATTTGCCACTTGATTCTTTTCAAACATCTTGATATGTGGCTCCCCCCTGATGTGCGACTCCCTCTGGCACCTCCCAGGCACCTTTTCCAGCGCCTTCGGGGCCGCCAGTGGGGTCTTCGAGCGATGGTTGGCGCACCAGACCCTGACGCTGCCCAAGGGCACCGTGCCCCCCTTCGAGGCCATGGGAAGAGCAGAGCATCCCGTGGCCATGGCCGGTAGTTCCTCTCGGTTTCCTTGGGGGTTGCAAGGCAGGAAAGCCGCTATACACCTAAGCAGAGCCAGTAACTGACTGAGGGCTTGGTGAGCGATGCTTAAAGAAGAAACCGAAGGAGTCATGAGTTCATCCATCTACTTGGGTTGATAAGGGTGGTCATCAACCCGGCAACATTGGCATACTAGCATGCTGCTTTGAAATGGCTATCAGCTGGCAGCAAAAAAGGTTTGCATTTGTGATGTGTGCGGGAATGGAGCAAGATCAGAAACATGCCAAAGCTAAGGCATAGATACAATATATAAGCCAAGCTTCATCAAAGTGCGCATTGGCTAAAACATTGTGCTGCTTTCTTAGTACTTGACTTCGTACATTGCGCTCTCAGCGGTGGTGGCCGAGATCCGGCTTCGGGTGGTCTCGCTTGTGCGGAGTCTGGCAGCTGTCTTGCAAGGGCGTGATGTGCTTTAGGTTTTACTTCGAACCGTGTCTTCACCAAGTATGATTGCCTGATGTTTATTCAAAGAGGTAACAGCAGAACCAAGCGCTATCTAATTTGCTGGGTCATTTATTGGATCAGAAATAACATTCCTTCTTGTTCTTTTCTCTCGATTCCTTGTCATTGTATTTTTACCCTTTCTCACCTATTAATATCCTATCTACAATTCCAGAGTTTATTATTTATTACTAACAGTATCCTACCTCCAGAGTGTTGAAGGCAAAGCAACATAAACCAAATATATCTGGGGCCTTCTTTTGAGACCCGTTGTAATTCAGGGTGCATAAAGCCAGCTTGCGGTGGTAATTATGTTCCAAATGTGTTGCAGATTCCTCACAAGCGCAGACCCCCCTTACAAATGGGCAATGAAATGCCGTCATTTGAATACGGTTGGGGAGATTCCAGGTAAAAGCGCCACCACGGATCCCGGATGCTTGGATCAGTTGTCCGAGTTTTGAGACGTTATTGCCTCACGGGGTTCATGCAGCCGATGGTTTGTTTTGGCTCCGGTGGCCCTGGAGTTGGCTGGTTGGTTGGTTGGCTGGCTGGTTGGCTGGACGGCTGGACGGCTGGCTGGCTGGGTGGCCGGCACAGGGCTGCGGGCTTTCGCTCTGCGAAAGCGGTTGTGGGCCTTTGCAAGGGAAGACTTGGGCTTGGCGTGAGGTTGGTTGCAGATAGGTTGGTCGCAGATTAGACGGGGTTGAGCATGCCAAGGGCCGGTATATGCCTGCATGATACGAACCCCCTACGATAGAGCCATATTTATTTCCATATGGGTCCATATGGGTCCATATGTACATTCTTCGGCCTCATCTGGTCCAGCTTTGCTTCATATGCTAATGACTCGTTAGCCACCTTTGCCAGGCAGACGTCAAGATCCTCCTGGGCAATGTCCATGTGAAGGCCGAATTCGGCGATCTGGTGCCTTGGCGTCGTTTTGCAAATGAGTTTGAGGGGAGCCTCTTTCTTGTGACTGTTTCAAAGCGAAACCAGACGAACACACGAAACGTTGCGTTTGCCCACCCCACAAAAGTTAAACTGGCTATTTAGAACTCAATGGTTCGAAGCCTGGTGTCAGAACGCATACGAGGATTGGAGGTAAGCATCTGTCACTGCTGGTTCATGGTCAAACATGCCGGTTTCTTTTCCTTTGTGCGGAATGACTTGTGGGAAATGTCGATGCCTACGCTCCGACATGGGCTTTTCTTAGCCTTGCCCAGATTCTCGGGACCCCCGAAATTGTGTTTTGTCCTTTGGCTTCCCGTTGAAACCTCCACAAAAAGGGGTACTCTCAAACGAAGCAACACACACACAAGCACATTTGCATGAATGTTGGGTTTCTGACTTTCCAAAGCCAAGGACTGTGCGTTAGAACTTGACCGTTTATGTCTTCTCAAAGCGAATTGGGCATGAAAAGCGAGCCGTGGGTTGTGTTTAGAACATGGTGAGGCCTGGTTGGCTTGCAGGTTTCGGCCCCGCACACCCGTCTAAGGAGTGCCATGGCTTTCGCGTGGCCGCTTTGGATGCTCGGCGAAAAGCCCTCTCTCAACGTGAGACCTGCAACTTGAACTGGGCATTGTCTACCGGGTCTCTGTCCGGATCTGAAATGGACCTGCTCTTTGTATACGGCAAGCATACAGTATGGGTTGGTTTGGCGACTTGCATTGTAATCTTTATGGTCCATCAGAGGGAATGAGTGTGGTTCCCACTTCTCCCACTTCTGGGTGTCTTTTTGGAGACTTCCCTTGTGAGGAATTAGTCTTTAGGAAGGCCGTTTCAACACGAGGTACGATATCCAAGTGACGGGGTACGGCCATATTTTCATCAGAGTTCCGCAATGCTAATCAGAGGACTCCCCCACCAAGAAATCCTCCTCCGTGATAGGTAATTACGGTCATCATGAGTCTGAATTCGATTCATTGCATGAATCAACGATGATACGAGTGGGGTTTCCTGAATAGACGGTGAAAACAACGATCACTGTGCAATGTTTTACTGTATTATTCAAGCAATACTGGAATGAGTCCATTTCCCTGTAAATAAAAACAATGGTTTCTCTTGGTTTCAACGTGGTGCAGGATTTCGTTCATCCACAGCATGGATGAATACTGCATGGGCCATCGGCGTGTGCTGTTCGTGGCGGTTCTGCCCGAGAAAAATAGAATTGAGCAATGATATACTTGGTACATAAAAGGTAGGAATTGAACAGGAGCTCATACCAAAGGCAAACGTGATGCACAGATGCTGAGTAACCTCCTGGTTACTCTTACTCCATGTTGCTCCTTTCGCGTCTGATCTGTTGAAACATGAGACAAGTTCCCCCACTTGCAGAGTATAGTCATTCTTCTAGGGGGCAAAGACTGTTCCAGACTTCATTCACCAATTGTTGCCTGGAATCTGGACATTAGAACAACCAACTGGTCCCTCACTTTCCACTCTTTGAGCCGTCGCATTTTGGTCACAAGCGTGCGATGTAAGGTTCGACGTGCCATTTGCTACCCTTTAAACCAATGTCCAGCAGGGACCACGTGATGGGTTCAAAGAACACACCCGTCAGGTTGCCACGGAGACAAACAAGTCTTGTACAGAAAAATCTGCCCCCATGGGTTCCAATGTGAATTTGAAAGGGAGTGGCTTTGGCTTCTTTTTGAAGCCGCCCTCAAAGCTGTTTTTGAGCTACCCTCAAAAAACTCCCACCACAGGTGGACCGTAGTTTTGAGCTGTGTGTTTTTCAGCTGGGCCCAAACCCTGGAGATACGTTTACCCCAAAGCTGAGGAGAGCGTGCCGGAGGCCGGCGCCGAACTCGAAGGGCGGTGCTCGATCCGATTCGATTCGCTTCGAAAGTGGCGCCTTGAGTTCCTGCCCATGTTTGCCAGACACGCAGCCAACCAACCAACCAACCAACCAACCCACCCACCCACCCACCCACCCACCCACCCACCCACCCACCCACCCACCAACCAACCAACCAACCAACCAACCAACCAACCAACCAACCAACCAACCAACCAACCAACCAACCAACCAACCAACCAACCAACCAACCAACCAACCAACCAACCAACCAACCAACCAACCAACCAACCAACCAACCAACCAACCAACCAACCAACCAACCAACCAACCAACCAACCAACCAACCAACCAACCAACCAACCAACCAACCAACCAACCAACCAACCAACCAACCAACCAACCAACCAACCAACCAACCAACCAACCAACCAACCAACCAACCAACCAACCAACCAACCAACCAACCAACCAACCAACCAACCAACCAACCAACCAACCAACCGTCCGTGTTTCCAGTTGAACGGAATGCTGATGCAACAGCTGAGCCAGAGAAACTCCTTGTGTTTCCCCTAACAACTGGCGCTCTGGGTTGATGCAGCAAGTCACTGCCTTGGAGCCAGAATCAGATTGATGGATACGGCTACCTACCTCTTTAGTTTGCATTGGCACTTTGTGTTGGCTAGCTTGTTCATTTAATTTTAGTAGAGGCCCAACAAATTCGGAGTGTTCTGGGCAGTCAGCTTGCAGTTAGGGTATGCTGATGTTTCCCACATTGGCACCTTCAAGAGACAGGTTCAGAGACGCCAGCGAAACCAGGCGCAGTCCATGTTTATTTGTTCCAAACTCTCGGATTGTTTCTGCTGCAACTTGTCGGAGAGCCCCGTCCGGTTTTTGCGTGGCTCCCCACATCCCATGTGTGACCCAGCACCCCCCCACATGCACCCCTCCGCCCCGTAAAGAAGAGAGACAAAGAAAACACTGAGAAGAAATAAATGGTTTATCGACACCCGTAGCGTTCTTCGGGGGCATCACAAACCATCCGAAGCACCTTCCAGGCCAGCGCAATTCGCGTGGCGCTGCGCGGGGTTGCGGCCAACTGCTCCGGCCAGGAGCGGGCGCCGTTTAACTTGGATGCCCGGCGAGTCCATCTCCCGTTGGTAAGCAAGGGAGCCACCCTTTGAGCATCAGAAAAATGGGTTTCCTGCCAGAGTCTCAGTGGCAAGTGGGATCCACTGCGGATGGTTTTGAAAGGACTTGGAAGCCATTTCAGTGGCCTTGTGAAAAGGACTGCTTTCTAGTCAGGTTGCCCAAAACCGACCTGGTCTTACACCGAAGAAACGCCACCGCGGGATGACCCAACTGTTGCGAAACATACATGAATACCCAGGTAACATGATGTGACCATTTTGGTGCCCTCTGGTCCATAATTTTGGGCCTTGACTTTGGTTATCAACTTCTAACCTATAGAAAAATGGACATGTTGATTTCCCCATCACTTTTTGCAACTGGTCAGTTGGACAAATTCAGAGGGCCCTTGGCAAAGGGCTGGCAGTTTCTTTGGCTCGAGAAGACAGGTCATAAGTGGAGTTTGCATAGTTTGCGAAGCTTTGTCATGAGGCAGGGTTTCTTGCTGTAAGTTCCAGGTAACGAATCATACTACCTTCGTGAGCACAATAGGGCTTCTGCCTCTTGCCGCCCGAGTGCATGAGTGAGGAGCTTTCACCCTGCCAAAGCCAATGTACCTCCATTTGACATTTGGTTCCTCAACGTCCCAACATTTCTGATTGGAGGCAGTTACTTCTTGGCTCACGCAGGCATGTTATACGAGCTCCTTCAAGGACGTGTGGTTCATGAGACAACCGTGTCCCCTTGCGTTGCCAATCTCAGGACAATGCCTGCATGCAACCACAACCAATCAAAGACGATGCACTCTTCTGAGGCATGAGGCATGCAGAAAACTCAATCTGCCTGGCATTGTACAGGGCTGGTCCGTGCCTGGACATGTTTCTCCCCGATTTTGGACCCTTGGCTCGGTTCGGTTTTCGTTGGTTCCCGTTCGGGGACCAATGTTCTGCCCGGCCAAGCGTACGGGGTCTCAGTGAACAACCCTCAAGGCAAGGTGACATATCCAAATTTCCGCCCAGGCTGCAAGTGTTTGGGGTTCCTCAAGTTTTCTATTTGGACCTTTCACAGTCTTATTTGATTCGGAGAAAACGGAGAATCCCAACTTTTGAAGTGGGAATCCGGTGACCCTGCTGTGAGGTCATGATGCCCGATCTCCGGTTGGACAGAACCCGAACAAGGGGGAATGGGGGAGATGGGGTGTCCGTGCTTTTTGAGTCCGACTATATAGCAAACACGCAAGACAACAAGCAGTAGCAAATATGCCAAAACACCCACAACCCTCCAAAGAACAAAATCCAAACGTACAAATACACGGACATCTCCAAGAAAACTGACATACAAGTACCGAAATGCACCCCCCAAATACCCCAAACACCCCCAGCCGCCCCAAAAAACCCCAACCCCCCAGCCGCCCTTGGCAGATCGAGTACTCCACTTCCTTGGGTCTTTCGGGCTATGCGGGGGCCGTGCTCACCAGTGAGAACAGCTCGGCACAGCTCAGAGTGCTGCTGGCCTCGAATGGGCAAATCGGGTGGATGCAACGAAGGCAAACGTTTGCCGGGTGCTACATAGCCCATAAGTGGTCAGTTTCCCAAGAAGAAGCCAAGAGGGGATGGGGAACTGTTGTCGGTCTTATTTCTATTCTCCGGGCTTCTTATTTAGCACCCAGCTTTGTAATTAACGTGTAAGAACCATGCTTAGGGATCTCAACACCTTTCCAGAAGAATCAACAAACATATCCGCAAAACCACGAAAGGCCCAAGGTAAACACCCGACTTTCGTGGTTGGCGATGCACCCTCAATTTTCGGGTAGTGAACCCGTCTTTGAAGGGCTATGCAGACTCCAGGAATTGTGAGGCCCATACAAAGCTCGTTGAGCAGAGTAGTGAGTTTCCTTCTGGGCTAATGCGAAAATCCAGGAATACAAGTTCACAAATTATACAAACTTGACTGCAGGTGATTCCTGTACATTGCTGCTTCTGGGAATCAAGGCCAAACAGAGACAACAAGTTTCGTTCAAGGAATGGAACACCGTTGGGCAGGAGGTGATGTTGGCTTCCAAAGATGTGGGCTCACCGCGGCTTTCGCTTTGTCCAACTATGAAGGTCTAGCCATGGCGTAGTGCTGGCAAGGCATGAAGCAATACCGTTGCAGCCATGATGCGATGATTGGGCTGACCGAAGGCTATCGCCTATCCCATGGGAAAGGCACTAGGCATGAGAGGAGTCAGGAGGTGAATCCTGAGGACCAAGACCATGTTTTCTTGAAGAGAAGCAACGGCACGGTGTTTCTTCAAATTAAAGCAAGCGGCAAAGCAGGTTCTTTTTTATTACTTTGAGAGCATGTTTGTTTCAACCAGGCGTTCTTTGTTTGGTGATTGGCCTACATTTCTCCATCTCGGTTGACCAGCAATCCTCCGACTTCCAGCTAACCGGGCGATTTCGTTCAGCCCACGGTTTCATCGTCTAACCTCCGAGGGCATCGCCGGCCTGGGACATGCTCAGCCCGCAGCCACCCGAGCTGAAGCTGGACGCCTGCTCCGGCTCTTCGGCTTCGGCTTCGGCGAAGTGGGCCGCAGCCGTGTCGGTTGTTGTGAGTGTGTGTGTTCTTCTTTTTTTGGAATAAGTGGCTTTTTTCATGACACCTACAAAAGGTGATCGAACTTTTGAGTGCTTGGAGAATAGAAGAAGCTTTGGGAGTTTCTCAACATGGACCCCGTCGAAGGCATCGCTCTTGTTTTTTGCAACAATCTAGACATACCTGTCCTCTTCTGTTTGTGTTTTGTGTGGGCACCACTTTTCCCAGCATTTCTCGGTGTGCCTTTCGTGTCCATTCTCTTCAGGGATCCTTCCCTTCAAACATATGGGCCAACCCCCTGCGAAAATGGGTGGTTTCTAAAAAGGACGAATCGGAGGGTTTCAAAAGACCGGCTTCCTCACTGAAAATGATTGGAACTGGGGTCATTTGATGTTTTTTGTGTTTTTTTTGGGGGGCTCAATCTCATCAACTTGGGTTGCTTTCCTTTAGCCCATCACTGGGGGGGGGGGGGGCGGGTGACTTTGCTGGCAGCAGAATGTGGCCAGTGGAAAGAGGGTGCCCTTCTTGCCAAAGACGTGAAGTGAAGCCAAAAGATAAACCACTTCGATTTCGACACATGCTCAAGTGGTTTTTTTTAGGGTTCCTTGAATGGCTCAGGGTTCGCCAAAGAGTTGACAGGGGGTCTTCTTGGAAGTGTCATGGTCGTTTGGGTAGAACTAGAGAAGCAGTGAACGAAGCCCACACATTCTGAGAATCGACCTGGTGTTCGGGTTCCTTCCGATGTGCAACAAATGAACCGAAGCGTCCACTTGAAGGCATTCCATTTGTGGGCTTCATAAAGTTCGGGGCTCCAATCTGCAAAGTTGGAATACCTTTTGGTGTCCTAAACCAACAAAAGGTCTTCGTTTGCACTTTCAGCAAAGTTTGGGCTTTGGTTGCCTCCAAACAAGTTTCAGAACCCACAAAGATGGAATCAACGTTTCTTTGGTTTCTTAATATACTCCAATTGGCGGTTCTCAACCCGAAAAAGCACACCCCACGTGTGCCCCGGTTCAAACTTCTTGTGTGAGCTAGGGTCGTGGTGCCTTTAGTAGGAACCCTAGAAATGAGTGTCATTGAGTGTCTAAGTTCCCAAATATGTTGATATCCAGTTCTGTCCGTGTCAAGTGTGGTACCCACAATAGCCCGGGCAGATGAAGGTTAGTACTGGACACTCCCAGCCATAGGTGTGGCAATGCCAGCTGTGGTCCCCACTGCAGCCCCTTTTGATAGCGGGGTGCAAGCTACTCGACCCCCGCAAGTTACTTTTTTTATCGGGTTTGGGTTGTGACTCAATTGGTATTTGTTGTATATTCTCCCTCTTGGCTTCATAGCTAGCCATGGGACGTTTGGCCAATCAAAGTAGCCCCCCCCCACTACATGTCCCTTTGGTGGGTTGCCAGCTACCCTTCGCGGGACCGAGCCTGAAGCCGCGTGACGCGTCGCCATCCGAAGGCACTGTGGGCCTTCGGCTGCAGATCACCTCCGGCAGCTTCTGGACGGAGTTCGCCCGGTACCTGCCGCTGGCTGCGAAAACTTTGGTTCCTTCCGGCGGAGGGAGCCCTCTCGCTTTTGATCCCTCTGCCGGATTTTTGTCACTTTTTTCCCCACCGTATCTCAGCGTCGCCTTCCTCCAACTTCCTTTGTGTCCTGTTCCTCCTCTCCTCCTCCTCCTCCTCTTGCTCATCCCCTTCCTCCTTTTCCTCCGCTTCTCCTTCTGTGCCTCATGTGCTCCCGTTCCTCCTTTACTTGTACTTCCTACACCGGGGCTGGCTGCGGAGTGTGCTGCGTTTTGCAGGGCTGGCAGCGGAGTGTGGTGCACTGGACTTTTCGCGGGGCCAGACTTTTCGAAGGGCCTACTTAATCTCGCTCTATCTATTTATCAGTGTTTCACTCTCTCTCTCTCTTTCTATCTATCTATCTATCTATCTATCAGTCTATCTATCGCTCTATCTTTCTGTCTGTCTATCCGTCTATCTGTCTATCTGTCTGTCTATCTATCGCTCTATCTTTCTGTCTGTCTATCCGTCTATCTGTCTATCTGTCTGTCTATCTATCGCTCTATCTTTCTGTCTGTCTATCCATCTATCTGTCGATCTGTCTGTCTATCTGTCTATCTATCTACCTAACTGTCGATTTGTCTACCTATCTATCTATCTATCTATTTCTGATTCTATTTGTCTATCTATCTAGCTAGCTTTCTCTATAATTATCCGTTTTCTATCTACCTATCTATCTTTCTGTATACCTACCTTCTATCTACCTATCTCTCTACCTATCTATCTAGCAATTCACCTATTTTTGTCTGACTATCTAAACATCTACGTATCATCAAGCTATCCATATCAATTCCTCTGTATCTATGTATCTATCCATCTATCAATGTATCTATTGATCTATCTACTTATTGCTCTATCTGTCTATATGTCTATCTATATCTATCTGTCTATCTGTCTGTCTATCTATGTATCTACCCGTCTCTTTATCTACCTTTCTCTCTCTCTCTCTCTCTACCTATCTATGTGTCTATCCATCTCTTTATCTATCTCTGTATCTATCTATATATCTATCTATCTATCTATTTACCTAGTTAGCTAGCTATCCATCCATTTATCTATCTTTCTATTTATCTATCCCTCTTCTCTATGTATATTTCTATCTATCTATCTGTCTATTTGTCTACTTCAATTCATGTCTCTTTCTCTCTCTCTCTCTCTCCCAGTCCCTCTCTCTACCTATCCCTGTTTTATCTTTCTACCTACCCATCTCCATCTTTACCTCCAACTATTTGTCTAGTTGTGTCTATCTTTCTCTATCTATCTATCTTATCTATCTTATTCATCCCTCCATCCATCCATCCATCCATCCATCTATCGATATCGATCTGCATTTGTCTACCCATCTATCTATCTATCTACCTATCTATCTATCTATCTATCTATCTATCTATCTATCTATCTATCTATCTATATATATATCTATCTATATTATATCTATCTATCTATATATCTATCTATCTATCTATCTATCTATCTATCTATCTATCTATCTATCTATGTATCTATCTATCTATCTATCTATCTATCTATCTATCTATCTATCTATCTATCTATCTATCTATCTATCTATCTATCTATCTATCTATCTATCTATCTATCTATCTATCTATCTATCTATCTATCTATCTATCTATCTATCTATCTATCTATCTATCTATCTATCTATCTATCTATCTATCTATCTATCTATCTATCTATCTATCTATCTATCTATCTATCTATCTATCTATCTATCTATCTATCTATCTATCTATCTATCTATCTATCTATCTATCTATCTATCTAATCTATCTAATCTAATCTAATCTAATCTAATCTAATCTAATCTAATCTAATCTAATCTAATCTAATCTAATCTAATCTAATCTATCTATCTATCCTGTTCTATCCTATCCTATCCTATCCTATCCTATCCTATCTATCTATCTTATCTATCTTATCTATCTTATCTATCTTATCTATCTTATCTATCTTATCTATCTGTCTGTCTGTCTGTCTATCTATCTATCTATCTATCTATATGTCTATCTATCTTATCTTATCTTATCTTAGCTTATCTTATTTATTTATCTATCTATCCATCTATCTATCTATCTATCTATTTGTATTTTTGTCTTTTAATCTATCTATCCGTCTGTCTGTCTATCTGTGTACCCAACCTTGCGAAAGTGCTGTGCCTGCCACGAAATGTGTGCTGGACCTTGTGAAAGTGCTGCGCCTGCCACCAAGCCTATACCGCCGCGAAATCTGTACCTGACCTTGCCAAAGTGCTGCACCTGCCACGAAATCTGCACCTGACCTTGAGAAAAGAGCTTGCGTGCCAGTGATTTGCTTGCATTGTTCAAGGGTGGGGATCTGAAAAGTAATTGGAAAGACCGGCGGTCTTCAGACCTTTTGTGTGCCACTTTCCAAGTCGGAAGAATTTAAGTGGTCAGCAAAGAGCTCGATCTGTTTGGGCGATCCACACAGAAAGTGAGTAGAGGAACCCTTGCCCCATGTCCCCTTCCCTCCCAATAAATCATGTGCCGCAATTCCCGAAACTTCCCCCTTCCAAGTTCCCCAAGAGGTCTTTTGCATTGGGCTGAGTTGAAGTGAAAGTGGGCGATGACAGCCTGTAATGCCCCCCTAGAAGCGAAAAGGAGACTGGGAAGTTTTGGAAGTTATCCTAAGCAAAACCCAACCCGAGCAGCGCAGCGACACGTTGCATCTGAGGCCGGGCTTCATCAAGAAGCTGGAGCCGCGAGATGAGAAATCCGGCGGTGTGGGCATGGCCGTATTTGATACAAATGGGTATGTTTGAAAACCGGATATGGTTGTTTCTCAAAATAGAGGACCCTAATTGCAACAGGTTTCAGTGGTCTATGGCCTATTCGGGATTCAGTGCAAGGCCGCCAACACCAGTGTCAAACACTGTTGAGAGGGTTTAGGCATCCCAAGCGATGTCACAACATCCTGTCCTATGATGAATTCAAGGATGAGGACATGTGAGATGCATTAGATAAAAAGCTGAGGGACCAACCCTAGGTAGGGGTGCCATAATTCAGTTGGGGAGCCGCATGGTTTTGACCGTCAATATGGTCACTAAGTAGCCCTCTTGAGCGAAGAGGCCCGAAGATGTAGTTGATGCTTGACAAATTAGGCATGCAGCATTTTCAGAAGTCTGGGATGATGACAATGCCCAAAGCAACTCCGCTTTCGGCATGTGTCCACACTGTGGGAATTCAGGCAAAGAAGTAGCAAGTTCTCGAGGCATGTTGCTACTCACTTGCAGGATTTGCTGCAGGTTCGGAGCAAGACACAACTTGTTGATTTTGTTGCGTGGATGTGCGCTCGTTGTGCAGTCTTTCCTGCTTCATCAAACGTTGCGCAGGGTGTGCCGCCAAACGAGCCATAGTTCCTTTGCGAAGCAGCCTTCCAGTCTGCTGTTTTAACGCTGGTAGACTAAATTGCGCCAGTTTGTCAAACGATTGCTCGCAAGCACGAAAAGCTGTATCAAATCGCTTCAGCAAGATAAGTGCTTGTTTGAATATCCAATAAACTTATATTAAATGTGTTTTTTGGGTCCACTAGGCTATCATAGGCAATGCCCAAGTCTGGCAAGGAATACCTTCCCAAAACGCAGAAGGAACCTGAGCCAGCTCCCATGGCCAATTTTCGGCCAAAAGGGGCCTGTCTAGGCAATATAGTGCTCTTGGCTGGGGACCTTGGACCCAACAACAGATTTGTTTTATCTATGATATATATATATATACACAATATATATATATATATGTATACACATGCACATATATATATATATATGTATGCTACTGCTACACCCCACCCCCAGTTTTACCGTCGTACATGCATTGCATGGTTCCGTCGAAATTCAGTACAATGTTCTCTCCCAGGGATTTGGCCGGCCGCACCATCTCGGAGCAGCTCTGCGGGCCCGTGCTGGACGTTGGCACAAGGACTTTGAAGAGCTGGATGAACAGGAGCAACCGGAGCCGGAAACGAGAAGAAACCTGTGGCTTTTGTTCCTGTCTTGGGTGGTGTTCTTTGCGTATTCCTGTTGGACATGTCCACGTTGGTTCTGTTTGTGTAGATTATGTGATGTTTTATTCTGTGTGTGTGTGTGTCTGTGTGTCTGTGTCTGTCTGTCTGTCTGTCTGTCTGTCTGTCTGTCTGTCTGTCTGTCTGTCTGTCTGTCTGTCTGTCTGTCTGTGTGTGTGTGTGTGTGTGTTTGTTAGGGGTTTGATGTTTTGTTTGTTGTAGTCCGTTGTGTGAGGTGTCTGTGCTGCTGTGTATTGTGGGTGCGTTTGTGTTGCGTTGTTGTGTATTGTTGTGCTGCTGTTGCCTCTTGTGTGTCTGTGTTATTTTGTTGCATTGTGTTTGCCGTGCGTGTGTGGTGTATGGGCGTGTGTTTGTGCGTTTGTGTGTACATGCGTATGCATTGAGGCTTCGGACAGGAAACCAAAACAACACCAGTGACAGGACAAATATTTTGAGATGCATTCATGTGAATGTGTACGCATGGCCCAAGCAGGCCATGGCTTCTTTCCTAGCAAGCCAGCGGGCTATTTCCACGTTCGCACTTGTGAGCACTTGCACCAAGGCAAGTTCACGGGCACATTGATATCCAGGACAGGGGAATATTTTTGGGGAAGAAGGATGATCTTTGTTTATCTGGAGGTGCTCTTGAGTATTTCACGTTCCGCCAGCGGCAAGCGTGGCATGCTCTCGACGGCTTCACTAGATTGCAGAGATGACATCCAGAGGATCTACTTTGGCTACGCTGGCAAGCAAAGCCACCAGTCCATGTTTCTCTTGACTGCAGCTCTTCAGGATGTGGTGTTGCTGAAGCATTACAATGTGCCCAGCTTCATTCTATGGATGTGCAAGACCTTCAGTGACGGTCTGGTGATATGTCTTGGAGCTACACGCCGACCTGTTGCGATTGCTTCATTTTTGTTGAGGAAAGCAGGTCCCATGTTGCGGAGGGGACCTTAGTTTTGACATGTTCTGACAAATGTGCGGCGTGACCTTCCCAAAAAGCTGTGAGGTGACAGACGTACCGAGCTTGAGGTCTGCAAGAATTCCAGCCGGTACGCACCGATTGTCACATGAGCCACTGCCTTTATTTACAGAAGACTGCAATCAAGGCCGGGCCGGCACATTTTTGGATGACATACTCAACTTGGTGCAAAACGAGATAGGAACACGCCCAAAACGAGGTAGGGCCATAACAAATTATATAGGTAGTTGAGAATACAAGAAACACGCGGGATTTTCCACACGAGTGCAGGGTTAGAGAACGAGGTGGGAACACCTGGTCATACAGCCATAAGTGTTTGCCATAGTCACTTTATTCCTCTTGGTAGTTCACAACCGATCATTTCCCAACACACCTTTGGTGCATTTCACTCTGTCGCGCATGGGATCACCGTAAAGGAACTATCTGAAGCCTCCTGACCCTCAGTTGTTTTGTTTATACACCCATAAAGCGCAGGACAATTCCTCTGAACCCGATGAAAACCCCCCCCATTTTCGCCCAGCCATCCCCTCAGATCCTTGGGTTTGAGGAGCCTGGCGGAGGCCCGCAGCAAGAGCCTTGGACGCGGTGGGCACCTGCAGTGCAATATGAAGAACAGGTTGCCTTTTTCGCGGACATGTGGCTCCATGTGGCTGTTTTGTGCCAGTTAGGCAGAAATGTTGGAGGGCTGCGATTCTCAAAATGACTAAGCCACGTAGATCAAAGTGGTTGGCCTTGCCAGGAACCAAAGTTCTGCCCTCGTGATGGAGTTGTTCAAAGACCCGTGAAAGCAGGAAACCTGGTTGGTGTTTGTTTGGCCAAGTTTAGGAATGTTTCAAGTATAAGTCTGGGGAAGCCTGCTGAGCACCTGTTCAGGGATAGTAGGAATTGGTCCCAGCCCAAACATCGTGCTTTCCTGCATACACACATACAGAAACAGGCACCGCAGCCAGCCAGACAGCCAGATAGACAGACATACACACACAACATACATACATGCATACAGACATGCATACATGCATGCATACATGCATGCGTGCATACATGCATGCATGCATGCATGCATGCATGCATGCATGCATGCATGCAGCCAGCCAGCCAGCCAGCCAGCCAACAAGCCAGCCAGCCACCCAGCCAGCCAACCAGCCAGCCAACCAGCCAGCCAACCAGCCAACCAACCAACCAACCAACCAGCCAGCCAACCAACCAACCGTCCGTGTTTCCAGTTGAACGAAATGCTGATGCAGGAGCTGAGCCAGAGAAAAGCCTTGTGTTTCCCATGATGTCCTGGTCATGTTCCTTCCATTCCTTTCAACTCCCCCTTCATGTCCCTGACATTTTCTCGGTATGTCCGCGTCATTTTCCATGTATGTCCCGTTCTTTCGTTGCGAGTCATTTCCCTACATCTCCCGTCGTGCCGATTGGTTTCATTGTGCTTTGTTTCCCTGTCATTTCCCCTGCACTCCCCTTGTTTTCATTTCTGTCCCTGTCATGTCCCTTTCAGTTTCCCTTTGTTTCCCTTTCATTTCCCGTTGCTTTCCTGACATGTCGACTTCCTTTTTCCTCCCCTCATTTCCTTGCACTTCCTTGCATTTCCCCTTTGCTCCCCAGTATTTCCCACGGTTTTTCCAGCGAAGACTACGTTTAGTGGAACGTCATCAAATCACCGCGCGGTACGCGCCCCCCCCCCCCCGCTACCCTACGTATCAGACGTCGGGCGGGGGGGGGGGTTATCCTCTATCCTCTCTTAGGTGTCCGACACGCCGAGCAAGGTTGGCGGATATACACATTGTAGATATAAACATGATTATTCAGCAGATAACTGTGTATGTGCAATCTGCACATGATCACTCAAATGAGACCTACTGTACACATTGGCACACTAGCACCCGCGCCCTTGGCATTGAAAACACCGCCTCGCGGCGCCTTCAAGCATGCAGTTCCCTATGCACACAAGATGCCGCCCCATGTCTGTTGTTGCTTTTCTTCTTGTTTTGTTTGGGTGAACCAAGACTTAAGAACGAGCGCATGGGGTTGGATGATGAAACCCAAAGACAGCACATGATGAGTACTTTGGTCTGGGATGAGTTGCATTCCTTATGCGTCCCATCTGAGGTACCAGGCAGAAGAGGTACCGGTTCAGCAGAGCTGGGTGGACTGGGCAGAGCACGAGCTCACGCAAGGCATCGTCATGTTCCAAGAGCAGTTCCTGGAGCCTCGCAAAGCGCCTCGCATCAAAGGGGGGCCCCGTCATGGGGTGCCATGATCAACTTCCATTTGCTGAAATGAGCTTGTTTTCGTTGCTTCACTACTTGACATATTGAAACCTTTGTTTTTTCCCAGGAGGCTTATGCAAATGGAAGCCAAAAGACCGGTTCCTTTACTGGGGTTAACCTTGGGATGCTCATCCACCTGGTAAGGATCCTGAATAGCCATTGTGATTCCTAAGGGAACCGTGACCCAATGGCCATGCAACGAGTTTTGACGACATGCGATGAACTGTCACGAGCCATACATCGTCAGTTTGAACATCACTTTTTGGACTCATGGCCGATTTTCCTCTTCAGGCGACATTAAAAAGAGAAATATAGGATCCCCGTTCTCTCCGTTTCATGTATATCAGCACATGGCTTGCCCGAAGCAACCCTGGTGTTGAAGTGATGGAGGCTTTATCCTCCAATATAGAAGGCCAGGCGAATCCCATTTAGGTGGTATATAAAACCTGTTTACAGACCGCACCGGGAGCATTCTTGATCATTGCGGGTACTCTTTTGTTCTGACCCCAAAATCCTTCCAACCTTTTGGGCAATCCCGTCCCTTGCAGAAGCAGTTTCTAAAGAGGCCAGTTGGCGGGTGAGTCAATCTGGTGGGTGTATCTCTTTTGTTGAGGGTTCAGGGCCCGGCGTTTTCACTTCGGAAACCGGAGGCAAGCGGCAAGCGCTTGCCGCGCGCGGGTTCTCCTGGGGCGTTTCGTGAAAGCGCCAATGAGCGGAAATGGGAAAGTGCCTATCTAACTTCCCGAGTTTGTGGACTTTATACTTTTTGGGAGGACAATTTTGGAGGTGAACCAAAAGTTTGGACTCTTTTCGGCCATCAGTTTGGACTCTTTTCGGCCATCCATTCAGGAAGTTAATGAATCGCTTGGAGAATCGTTTGGAGAATCATTTGGCGGCAACTGTTTCTTTTCAACTCTGGGAGACAACAGGATTTGTTTATGTAGCCTTTGAGAAAATGAGTCAAAGCTCTTCCACCATCTGGCAGCTGGTGCTCCACTTTTGAAAACGGTCGGTCTGATTGTATTCAGTGTTGGCCTGTTAGAAAGAGGCAGGCTCCTGCACGGAAAGGGAGAAGGCGCATCCTCCTTTCTGTGACTGACATCAGTTGACCCCCAAAGGGGCCGTGGAATCCTTCTGCCAACAATCTCTGCGATTCACAAACAGAAGGCCTCCTTTAGATGAGCGGTTGCCTTTCTTGTTCAATCCATCCAAGAAGGCTTCTCCAGTTGCTCTGGGTAAGGCATACCGTTTTTGAGGTGTTTGGTAGGTTTGCCTTGAAGCGGGGTGCTCAAGCCGGACGCTGCGTGGGTGAGGTCTATGACTGGCTCATTGCGGACCGCTGCATCGTTGGCGCGGACACCGTGTGCTTCAAGCAGGAGGCTTCCCGGTTTGGACGCATAGGTTTCCTTGCATGTCGGTTTGGTGGAATAATATGGCCTTGGAATCAGTTTGGCTCTAGTCATTGAACCAGAGAGGCTCCTGAGTTTGGGTTGTTTATCTATGGCCCCCGCAAAATGGGTGGATTCCTCTTGTGCAAAAGTGGAACCGCTCTTGGCCATCTCAAACACACGCAACGAAGTCACCATGTCACCAAGCAACCAAGCCGCAAAATCCAATCAAGCAAGAGCGAGTGAGCGAGTGTGTCTGTGTGTGTTGGTTTTGGGGCAATCAATCCCTGAGCTTTGCCTTAGTCAGCCACTTCAACCACTTTGAAATCAACCACCTTAGTCAACACATGGACTTCTGGCACAGTTCTGGGGCAATCACCCACCCCTGGGTGTTTGTTTGGCTTAAGTCACCCAATTCCATTTCTGAGCTCAGCTCCGCTCAGCTCTGCGTGGCGGGCAACGACTCCAGCTGCGTAGTGAGCGAAGAAGCTGGCCACATGTCGCTGGATGTGCGGAAGACCACCTGGGGCATCCGTGGCTCGGATGGCTCAACCGGAATGGCTGGGCAGGCGACCAAATCGCCACGACCGGGAGGCAAATGGGGTGTCTCAAAATAGGAGGACTTTCAAAATGCTGGCAAACCTTGTGGTTTCCCTTCAAAACAACCTGTAAAGGGTAGCACCAAAACACAAGCACCCAAATGGTTGTTCCATTAAACCTAACAAAGATCTAACAACCTTTTGAGAAAGGGCTATCTAGTTAAAGGGGCGGACGAAACAGGCGTCTCAAAATTGAACGGAGTAGATGAGAGTAGAGCAAGCCCATCGAAAGTATTCAAGAAGCAAGGAAGACACCTACAAAATTTCCAAAATACCAACCACCAAAGAAGAGACACTATGTGCGTGTTTGCTTGGGCCTGTTACGTTGATTGTTTCTGTGGACTAGCAAAGTCAGAAACACAAACTGGCTATTTCTCTAAACCTACAACTTGCGGTTTCCCTTGGGTTGAGCATAAAGGACTCCTCTTGAAGTATTGCACCCTAAACCCTGAAATACCGCCTGTATTACCCTCCTGCAGACGTTGAGGGTACCCGCTGTTGGGTTCCTTCCGTTCATAGGGGGAATAGCAACCAAAGGTCCAGAGGCAAATTGATCCTTTGACCAAACCGAGTGTTGACCGATTTCCCCGATCGCTCGCTTCAGCTTCTTGAAGATCCGTTGCGGTACATGGACTGCAGCCAATCCATTTGGATGAATGTTCACGAGGCGATTTGGTTGAGAGGCCGATTTGCACTATGGTTCTCTTCAAAGGTTTGACCGCATGGACCATACCCCTTAAAGCCCCATATGGAGTGAATCACGGGTATATGAGGGTATTATCAGTTAGGATTTGTTAGCTTGGATCCTTAGTTGGTGATTCCTCATATGCATCTGAAATATGTTGCAACTTCCCCAGACGCATGATGATTTTGGTTTTGTTTCCTTCCCATTGAGAAGCTTTAACTGACATGAGCAAGCTATGAACGGCGATGGGGATTGTGCGTGAGGATGTTGCACACGATGTTCAAGCTGCAGCCAGCGTGTGCACGTACCAATTTGCAACGAGCACACGATGTTGAAGCAGGTCCTGAATCCCATTCGGGCGATGGCTGTTTTCCCCCGAAAACATAAGTATGTTTTTGTGCTCCATAGCTATTGATTTATCAGGCAAGCATATGCCAAACCCATAGAGTACAGCAACCCTCACGGATTAGCTTGTCAAGTCCTAGGCACTCACAACGTTAATTTGAAGCCTCCCTGTTTGCTCGCACATCAAGTGAATCTCCCTTTTGTGCAGGGTGTACAGAGAACATGCAAGACTCTCCTGCGAGTGCGAGTTGGCTTTGAATCATTTGACACCCGGCGTGCTTTTTCAGTGGAGTCACCAAGTGGGAAAGATATCAGGCTACTCTCATCCCTAAATGCGAAAACGGGCCCGTGAATGCATGAAAGGGGAGCTTAACTCCATGACCATCCCTTCAGCAATTGGTTCTGATTGACCCCTTGCCCTGTGCCTTGTTGGGTTCCATCACTGGGCTCCCTGAATTTTACCAAACTGTCGGGGAATGAGGGAATGACCCCGAACTCAACCTTCCCTTGTGCCTCCTGATGCCCTACTGGGCACCTCGATGTTTTGGGTGGTGGGACCTCCAGTTGGGCCAGTGTTTGTTAAAGTTGGCACCCTTTTCAGGTTGGTTGAAAGTAGTTTAAAGGGAAACCACAGGGAACACCGAACAGTCGAACTCCGTTTTGGGGGGTTCTCTTTGACACGTGGGCCTTTTTTTAGGGGACCCCCCAAGAAAAAGTTTGGCTTTCCTGTTGATTTCCCTTTTAACCCCATGGTACTCTCAAAAGGAGACCGACCCACATACCCCTTGTTGAAACTTTGGCATGGCCGAGTGGTCACCCGACTTTCCGAGGCGACTTCGATCTCTCGCCGTTGGCCGCGCAGAACGCGTCCCTAGCCGCCCGGCGAATTCCCGGAGCCCCTTTTTGCCATTTGGAGGGGGGGCTCTTTTAAGATCAACAAAAGCGCTCCAAAAGAAAGACCTTTTTCAAGAAAGACAAACACGAAGGCCATTGGTTTTTGAAGAACGTGGCCGACAGAAAGGGTGCCTTCTTTGCAATGGCCACTGTTTTTGGACGTTCCGTTTGGTCTTCATGTGGTTTATCGCCACAACTGTTAGCTAAAGGGGGATATGAGTTTGTCTCAAAATAGTGGGACCCGCGGCATGGTGGTGTTCCTTTTGGCGTCCCTTCAAACCGACCATTGAAGAACATATAATACATATACAATGTATATATATATATATGTATCGAAAGAGAAAGAGATAGAGAGAGAGGGAGAGAGAGTATTTTGGGAATCTATTAGCCTTGGGTTTCCATGGAGGAGCCGGGGAACATGGGCCCAGGCTGCCAACTTGTCAGCGAGCAGCTTCCAGATCTACCCGGTCTTCAATCTCTCCTTCGCGCCCCAAGGAGGGTCCGCTGGGAATGTGGGACCTACCAGGAAGGTACCCTCAATTCCTAACCGGCATGACTTTCCCCAAGCGGAATCAACATCAGGTTCAGGGAAAGTCCCAACCATCAATAACGCCCTTTGGATTATTTGCCTGGTTCTGGGTATTCCGCTTTACTACCAGGTTTTGACCCTAGGGCCCTTATGAGAGGCTTCCGTGTGGTTCTTGTGGGGGCAGTTCCCTCGGCTGAGAATAGCCGAGGGAGCTTCAGAAATCCTCTGGCAGACAGGTGCTACGGGTCTGTAGAGATGTCAGACTGGGGGCGAAATGGCTTAGACTGAATGCATGGATTACCTAGAGCCTCCATGAACCCTTGAACATGTGTATGGCTTACCACAAGTCCGATGTGATGACCTTTGTTTCTTCCGGAGTCATGGAGACTCCGGAGTTTGGGCAGAGGCTGCAGAGATTTGAGCTTCTTGATGTAGCTCAACTCAGCTGTACCTCTGCCAATGCATCCCATCCCCGGTCCACAAATGTCGCCTGAGTGTTTGCTGCCGGCCGCAACCACTGCCACTTCCTTCGCATTGGAAATGATACTGAGTTTGGTTTCATTTGCGTTGTATGGTGGGTCTGCTTGTTCAGATTTGTGGAAACTAGTGGGGAATGGCTGCGAAACAAAGAGTTTTGTGGCCAAATGTGCAAGCGGCCAAGGGAATCCCCTTGAAAATGAATTTCAGTAATTATGTTTGGATGGGAATGAACCGCTTTGATAAGACTGCTTTCGGGTGATTTGCACCATCAGAAGGGTGCCGCTTGAGGCGGGGGCATTTTGCCTCAACCTTTGTATGACAGTGCGCACGCTCTCACCCACTAACATTAATCCTGGAAGACAATGTTCCTGTTTGTAAACCACCACTTTTCACTTTGCCTCGTCCGCATGATTTTTCAGCACCTTTCCGGAACCCTTTGGTGGTTCCATGTTGATAGCCAGCCAGGAGAGCGTGGAAGCTTTGAGCTGGTGTCGATGAATCTCAGCTTGGCGCAGGTTCACTTGGGAGTGGCTCGGACATTGGCTTTCTGGCCGTGGCCGCATGCAACTGGGGGTGGGGTGCGAGTTTAAAGGGACACCAGCGGGAAACCAGCCATGATTTGGCCGCCCCATGTTTGGACTCGCCGGCTTGTTGTGAACCTGGAGTGGGCTATATGTCTCAACATGAGCCACAATCAAAGCCCAGGCAGATGAAGAGTCGTAATAAGGGGACAGTCCTCCTACCTTGTTTTCTTTACATAGTTTTGTGTCAACTCAACCCAGTTACCTGAATACCAGGTGTCAGGTGTTGATTGCGACTCATACGATTTGACGTTGTTTCCCTACGCTGTCAGCTCGCGCAGGGGTCATTGAATTCGAGACACGCCATGCTCGGAGCTTGGAGGTTTGAAGTTGTGCGCATTGGGCAACACCAGACGTAGCCCCAAAAAGTGGCGTGCCTGAGAGGCCCGAAAGATAATGTTTCAATACCTGGCCTGGAGCGGGCTTCGCGGCTGTTTGTGCAAGCTGTTGGTTGGGATCAAAGTGGCTGGACTGGCCGGGCCCCCGCAAATTTGAAGAACTTAAAAACGACTGGGGCGCATGCCAACGTGATAATTTTTCAGCTGGAGAAGTTCATCAGCTCTCCCAGCCTGTCAGCCTCCAGGGCCCAAAACCACTGAGCCAATGCACAGCTCAAATCGGAGATTTGTTGATGGCCGGACCGGGCAACCTGTTCGAGGATAGGATCATTGTTGGGCGATTGAAATGTTTGGGCCTTTACATGGCGACGCCATATTCGAGTCTTTGAAGCATATCTACGATCCTTCGGTTTACATCTTGGAACCTTCAAGAACCAGTGGATTCAGTGGTCCCTAAAGGTAACCAATCAACACACGGATCCAATTCTCCTCAAAGGTAACCAAGCAACATCTTGTGTAAAACCATCCATCGATTTGGGGCCTAAGGCGAACCTAACTGTGGCGGTGGACAAACTCGTCTACAGCACCGTGAAGAGCTTTCAGCACCTGGCCAACGTCAAACAGCCTTGATTTGGGGTGTTTAGAGGGTACCCTTTCAGGTTGTCTTAAAGGGACGCCAAAAAGGACAATTCAACCTCAAAGAGAAGACCCCTGTTCTGAAAACGAAAAAGTTCCCTTTCTCCAGCTTTCGGGCCACTGGTTGCAATTGCAATTGGTTACTATCTTTTCCGGCTTCGGGCGTGCGTACCGGTCCGAACGCTACCCAGCGCGCCCTTTTGGGTTGGTTTGGAAGAGGGAGGCTTTCCCTTTGCGAACAAAGGAACAGGTGCCGCTTTCCCGTGACTCAACACTCACACCCCGAACCTGCTTTCCATGCCAAGCAAGACGGGGCAGGTCTTGGTTTCTGAGTGGCTCCATGTAGCACCACGGGGAGACTTTCACCGCCACTTCGCGAGTGGGAGCCTAGGTATTTGCAGCCCGATTGCCTGGCGAGGGCAGTACAGAGGATGCAGCTGAACCGCGACTTGGACAGTCTTATTGGATCCATTTGTCTTAAAACAACAAGAAGAGTTGCGTAGGTTGGCGCAAAACTTGTTGGCAATGAGGTTGGTTTTGAGCTGGTGATGTAGGCTGCAACATGTTGGCGACTCATTGTGGGCGTGGCATGCACCTGGGGGTTGAGAGGACGGGCTGGACGGGCAGTGATAGCAGGGTGATTGGGGAGATGGGACAGGATGGGGGGAAGTAATCGAAGGAGAGCAAGCGGAATGCAAGACAACATGGCGAAGCGCCGATCACTGAGATATGGAATCCGGGTGAGTGCTTGCCAACTACTGTTCCCAATTTCCATCTCTCTGTCTCATCTTCACTACGGCATGTCCTGGAATTGGGATTGTCCTATTGGATGCTGTCTGACACGAAGCCAAAAGACAACCCAATGCATCAGCATATAATGGCGACTCTCTCAAACTTATCCCAAGGCTCATGGCTCGACGGGCAGCTGAAATGGGGAAGCTGTGGGCATGATTGCCACGTGATAGGTTGCCTTACCTTGTATAGGTTTTCTTTTGTGTGTGTGTGTGTTGCGCGGCATTCATGTTTGCAAGGGCTTGCGGCTTCCGCGGTTTTCGTAAAAAGAGTGGTATGCAGCAAGTTGCGGGAAAGACCTGAGAATATATGATCGATGATGGAGGGTAGTGCTGTGTGTGCGTGTGTATGTTTGCGCTCAGAGTTGCTGTGCCAAACCGCACGGAGGACCATTTCCTGGATCAACATCAATACGCATCAACCCAGACCAGATAGCTGATTAGCTGATTAGAAGTTGTCTTATCCACTAAATGCAGTCAGACAAACGGTCGCTGGTGGACAACAGCGATCGCAAGCGGCGTTGCAGCCTTTGCCAGGGATGGATGCAGCATTTCAGTTGCAGCAGATAGGCTTTAGCACCGACTCGAGACATGGCCGCATTGAACGCTTTGGACGTCGCCCGTCGAGGTTTCAAGTTACAGACGGTGGTTTGCTTTCTCCATTTACCGAATTGGTGATCTGGGTATGGGTCAAAATTAAACCACCAGGGGACCGCAGGTTTTGGTCCATTTACCAGGGTTCCATTTTGGGTACATATTTTTGACCCACAGCCATTTGTCGTTCTGATTTTCACGCCACATGGTCACTGAGTATTTCGCAGGAGGACGGTTTAATTGGTCACTTGGAAAGTGAGGTTGCAGTGAATGCTTGAGCACTGAACTTCCATGGACTTGGCGGGGTGAGATTCTGGATTTTGTCCATGGCCATGTGCTCGGAGGCTGACCTGAGCACTCCGTATGCTCCGTGACCCTTTAGAGTGGTTGGTAAGTCAATGGCATCAAACTATGGTGCCTCACCCTGCCCAACGTTTTTTGTTTCCAGCTTTCGTGGAGTCTTTGGGCACGTTGACCAAACATAGGCGATGCGTGTTGTGTTTCGTGGCACCAAACACGCTGCGTGCTTTGAGTTTCCATTCTCCCATGCAGCTCTCCAGCGGTGAAAGCCTGCGCAGTTCTAGCTAAGATTCCCGCGGTGAGTCGCAGAGACGGGTTCAGAGGGAACGCAAAGCCTTCATTCAAAGGCTTTTGAGACCATCATAAGCCCGAGGTCAGGCTCGTTCGAAATTCCTGTACCGCTGGTAAGGGTTTATGAGACATGGGTGGCGGCTGTCTTGTTCCATTCCGTTTTGTTTTTTGGGGGCGGTCGTGGCGGGGGGGGGGGGGTTATCCTTCATAGCTCCCCTTGCGGCCGCAATCTCTGGGCCATGGGCCACCTAAAACCGGCCGCTTCCGGTTTGAGAACATTCGGTATGTTTCGGAGCCCGTTTGGGCCAAAGACCGTGGACGATTCCATGCGATTCTGCCCGAGTTGCCAAGTAGCACCTGTTCGTCCGAAGGTGAGTTTCCCTTGCTGGTGATGTGTTTTTAGGGGTTTGAAACATAAGGAGCCTTGTTCCACGCACAAGGTTTTATTGGCCCCATTATTTTGGTTCCGTCAAAGTCAGCCAAGTGGTAGCTTAAAGAAATTATCATCCCATCTGACTTGGCTTGGAAGTCAAAATCCATGACCCGCGCGCCGCGCGCTTCCTGAGTTCATGGAGTTATACGTTTTGGGTTTGGACCATTTTAGTTTCTGCACTCCATGGGAAGTGAGCGCTGAGCCGGGTCGAGTCGACGAAAGGAATGCCACGCTGCTGTCGGGCGCGGCATCTCTGGCGGAGCAGATGTTGGGCCCGCAGCCACTGGGCGCCAAGAAAAACACGAACGAATGAACCGCCGCTGGCTTAAAAAACGAAAACAATCTTGATTGGTTTCTTGAAAAGAAACTGAAACAGCTCTCAACTCTCCTTTCTTCAACAAAATTGATGTTTTTTTTTGGGAAAGAAGATTGAAACAATTATTTGTTCTTGTTGGTTTACGACTTTTGCCGGAGTCGCCGCATTTCTCCCCCGGTATATTCCCCCACGGCCCTCCCAGTTGCCCCATTTGCCCACCCAGGCAAGGGCTGAGGAATTTCTCCGCGCTGCTGCTGCGAGGCGTTTTGATGGGATGGATGGGTGGCTCTTTAAAGGGAAGCCGTTCGCCCTTCCCGAGGCGATACATGGAAGCTCCCGAAGGGACCCCGAAATGGTTTAGACTTGAATTTCCATTTACAGAGGACAGTTGGGTTCTGGCTGTTAGTCTGGAGTGTACAAGGGAAACAAACCCGGAGAATTCCTACATTTGACGTGCTTTCGGACGCCAGACCTGTTTTGTCAGTTAAAGTCAGCTTTCAAAAGGAAAACAGTCCAAGAATCCCGCTGTAAGTTTTGTTCAACTCCAATGATCATATCGGAAAATGAGGCTCTGCAAACATGTTCGGAGACCCCGCATGAAGCAGTGGCAAATGAAAGACAGCTGCTTCCCCTCATTTGCCCAAGCGGCCCCTCACACACATACAGGACAGTGAGGACTTGGAATGAATCTGGGTTCCTCAGCTAGCAACTGTCTCTGCGGGTTCCGAGCATTTCCAATTGGAAGGCTCTGGTAAGTCGAACATTCGGATATTTTGCAATCCCAAACGACGGATAGTGCAGCAATTTTGGGACAGCTCGAGCGCAAGTTTGACCCGCTGGAGCACAAGGTCGCGCAATTTGAGTGTTTCGCACACTTTGATGAGTGTCCGCTTAAAGGGGTGAGGGTTGGGCTGTCAAACCTGATCGCCTCAAACTGGTTGGTTTTGAAGTTCTGTCAAATTCCCAGCTGCTCGGTGCATTCTACCCTCTAAATTGCTTTTGTTTGGCACCCGAAGTTGCTAATATGATCAACCCCGCGAAGGGTTTCAAATTTCAATATTTCGTTCACCGAACAACTGGGATATGAAGCACTTCGTTGGTTTCGCGCTGGCTGAAACTTGAAACCACAAGGATTCCGAATGGCGGGAGAGCGAGTTCCCTGTTCAACTGGGAGGGTCCAACTGGTTCAGTGTTCTGGCCTGGCTATCAGTGATAGGTTTTTTTTGATTTACGCATATTTCTGACGTGGCAATGAGAAATGATTGCTTACACCCGCTCAAATGGTTGGTTTGGCTTCCACATCCCAAGTCCCAAGTAGCCAGGCTTCGCCCAGAACCAGTTCGCCACCAGCTGGAACGGCAGTCACTGGCCCCAGATGGCTGGTGCCCAGGGTGAAGGCGTTTTTGGGGCCAACAGCGGCGTGTCAGGGAGCCTGGCTAGGTTCGGTTGAAAGGGGCAACCCCACCGGAAAACGCCTCTCTCATGAATTGATCCCCACACGAAAGGGCCCGGCTCCCCTTTGGCTTTCTTTGCCAGCTCAAAAAGGGTACTGCGCTGTTCAAGGCCAACTATATGAGCCCTGGAACGGCAAGGAGCGGATGGGCCTTTCGGGCTTATGTCGGATATACTTTGAGGTATGAAGACGGGCTCCAGGTGTCAAGTCCAGTTTGCCTGAACCAGCATCTGCGATTTTCGTCCTTGAGTTCCTGAGTTCCCCCGTCCGGTGGGCCCTTACGTCGTTCTTTGTTGGGTGCATTTAAATGCAATGAAGGGGTTTCTCCCACTCGGGGCCTTTGGGAACCACCATGTCACGTTTTTTTGTGGCTGAGAATGATACACCCCTGAACGCAAAAGCTAATCGACATGCATGAGAGATGTGCGGTCAAGCAGAAGGTTGAACATAGATTGAAAAGGACAAAAAGCAACGTCTACCAGGGGACAGCCAAAACCCTGGTGGCTGGTGTGCACAAATCAGCTCAGCTCTATGCTTGAGTTTTGTCCGCTTTTCGGGCCTGAATCTAAGCTGAACCTCATTCACGATGGGTTTGAGGGGAAACCATGAAGACCTCGACCATCTGGAATTCCTCAGTTCAAGCCCGTGAAAATGTCCAAGCATCCATCCAGGACCTGGATCAGATTTTGACATCATGCACATGGCCCCTGTGGCCACTTTGCTAAGCTGGCTCAAAACAAAGGGGTCAGTATTTTGATGGTTTTTTTCAGGGTCATCAAAGTCACCAACGAGATTCCCTTTAACCTTCCAATTAGGGTGTGACTTTGATAGCGGTCAAATGGGGCTGGCTTTTCCGGGGAGCTTCTTTGCAGGGTTGGTGTTTCAAAGCAATGGGCCTGAAGCACCGGACGGGTCCGATGCGGTGGACTGAGGTATAGCGCACTGGCTGGGCACCCATCGGCCGCGGCATTGTCCGCTTCCGAAGGGCGAGGGCGTTTATGGCCCCACAGGCGGGTCGGTTCAAAATGTCCGGTCGCTTCCCCATACTTTGCCCGGCGCAAAGCACGTCAAATTTGTAATCTGCCGAATAAGGAAGTTATACGGAATTGCTCAAGGCACTTTTTTGGATTCGTCAGGGAAAGCTGGCAAAGTCGAATTACAATGTGCGATTTGATTTTACAATTAAAAGAAGGGAATTGCTGAAAGTACCTTCTAATAATCATGGGTGTCAGAAGTTTAATATTGGTTTAGTATTGGATCAACAAAATATGCAAAGGAGTTTGTTTTGAACTTGTTTTCTGAACAAGAATATTTATTTACAGACGTGGATTTGTAAATAGGGGGAAGCAGTTCAGGTGGAGCCCAAAAGGGTTTCCCCCAATAAAAATATTGCTCCAAAACGAGCAAGTTGTGGGTTCCATGTCAATCTGTAGGGGAGTATGCCCACGTCACGTGTCTGTTTTTTTGAAGTCAGTCCCGGGGACCGAAAACAAAGCACCCACTTGTGACGTCTCGTTTGCCAAGGCTCTTGAACATGCGGAAGGCACCACCTGCCCACATCAATCGCGTTGGCCTGCAATGGCTTTTGATGCGCTCTTGCTTCTATTGTATGTTTCTTGCTGGTTGGAAAGGGGATGGCAATCACTGCTGTAGGCTATATCCGCCATTTAAGTCAAAGGCACCTTAAGCCAAGGCTGCATGTTTGAGCCCTGAACTGTGAATCCGGCGGGTGAGGATTGCTCTTGTCAGAGTGTCAAAACATTGCCAAAGGAGAACAGGGTAGTACTATGAGAGTAGAGGCTAGCACAGCGTTCTAAGACCATGCGCTGGCAAACGTATCCAGTGCAGTTTTTGTGGTTGTTTATGTCGCCAAACCGCAACGTCATTGATTCTTGATTCTTGATTGAGGGCCCGCACACCTATTTCAAGAGAGGTTAAGTGAGGGGGCGCAGTGGGCTGCCCGATACCCCTAGGCACTAGCGGATGCTAGCTGGTCGTCGCAGCGCACTTAAACGGCAGTTTTCCTTAGTCACACTGCAGCGCCGTGCAAACTTGTGGCATAGCAAGTCCGACATACCTAATTCTTGCAGTATCCACCTCAAGACCGCCTGAAGAGGGGGAAGAGACAAGACAAGAAGGATAAAGTCCATCCTGCGTGACACGTGATTGCCAGACCGGATAATTTTCAATTAAGCAGCCGTGTCTTGATTAAGCAGCTGGAAGCGGCCATGGCAACATCGCTTGCCGATTGAGTCCGGCTCATGCGCTAAGTCCAACGGTCTTTGTACCGGCTTGGCACCTGAGCACGATGTGCTTGGAGAGAAACAAGGGCATGTTTCAAGATGAGAAGACACCTTCGGTTGGGTTGGGTGGGTTGGGTTGGTTGGGTGGGTTGGGTGGCTTGATTGCTTGCTGGCTTGCATGCATGGATGCATGCATGCGTGGTTCAAGGTTGCTTGGTTGCTTGGTCGCTCGGTCGCTTGGTTGCTGGCCTGCTTGCTTGCGTGGCTGCGGGCTGGCTTGGTCGGTTAGTCGGGCGGTGTGTTGCTTGGCCTTGGCATTGGCTGCTTGCAGGGGGTGGCACTGGAATCGCGCCCAAGCAGCTCAGAGAACTACGCTGAAACATGCAACAAGGATAGAAATGCACCAGCCTCTTTTGGACGTGCGTACCTTCTTAAATGAGTTCTGTGCATTTATACATTTTTTGGTCGGAGGGTAAGCGGCGAACCCTGAGTTTGCCGTTTGAACCACGGGACCCTTTGCAGTTGTTCTGGCAGGCCGCACTCTGATCCGCCCCAACTTCGGCCGCGCATGCAGCTTGCAGAATTATGCGCAGGGGAGGGGAAGTTGCTGGGCACCAAATAACCCCTAAACCTGTACTCAAATCAAATCAACAGGGCAAGGATATGCTGTATTTTCCAGAGCCCTGTGATTAATTAGCCATGGAAACCGAGGCTGCTTAGCAAGAAGAAAAGAGTTCCAGCCTGTCATTGTGATGGTGCGCGGTTGGGTTACTCTTTGTACTTAGGAAGTCTGCCGTAAGCCTAAGCTTGCTTACATTTGGGGACGCCTTTTGGCTGTTGCCTAAAGTTAAAGGGAAGCTAAAAGGACAATGACCATTGTTCCGGACTTCCTGTTTCAATCATATTCAAACATATGTATATATATATATATGCCAGCCCCTCCCAAAGCCTACCAAAGATGCATGCTTCAGTGTGTTGAGGTTCAACATTCTCCGGCAACACGTTCTTTAGAATATTGAGTCTGGAATCTTGAGAAGCGAGAAGCGCAACTTTCAGGCCAGACATATTTGTGCAGCATCTTGATTCTTGAATCTTATCCACTTGTCGTGAGTAGTTGGTAGCTCCAGCTCAAAAGGCGCAACTTTCCAGTATAAGAGTATTACGCAAAGCGCTCTCGATGTGCCTGTAACAGACAGCGTGGTTGCCGTTGTTTTACTCTTATCATTGGCAGGGCAAAACAGCAGCAAACCGAAAAGGAAATCATTCCTATTTGAGTTGATTCTTGAAATTGAACTCCCAGTGACCTCCATGTCCTTGTGCGCGATTGCATTCCTTATGCATTTCCAAAAATAATCAACTGGAGAGAATAACTGTTGAAATTGCAAATTAAATTGAAATCAGCTTCAATTTCAACGAGTTAACTGTCATTATTTAATTTCATGTAATTTCAAGCAGGGAACTGAGCCAAGCCAATCGCGAGAAAGTGTTTCAATCGTCATGAATTTGCTCCTTTGCATTACATGCAGAAATGCGTTATTGTTCGGCATTTGTCAGATTGTGATCCGCCTCTCAAAAAACAATTCCCCTCGAAGTGTTACGGTCAAGCTGGGCACCGCCTAGATCGCACAAGAAGGGCTTGTAAAGTCGTTTTTGAGCTGGCCCCAAGATCCAAGATCGCACAGAATAGTTTTTGGAAATCTTGGTTTGAGGCCAGCCCCCCCCCCAAAAAAAAAGAAGAAAGTGTTTGGAAAGAGCCGCATATGTTGCGCGGCATTTCTGAGGCTCTCCGCTTGGTTCGCACATGTTGTGCAAAGTTTGGGAAATGCTGCGCAACATACTGTGCATGATGCCCAACATTCCCACAGAACCACTGGAGAACAAAAACAACCCTACCCCCACCATGGCTGGACCGTGTTTCTTCCGTATTTTGGTTGTCCAGTCACTATTTGCCAGAAACATTCGGAAATTAACATATCCACTGGGCTAAACATGCAAAACAAAAGCCAACAATCGACAAAACACAAACAACAAACAACAATCCGACTCCACTTTGAGTGGAATACTCTGTGTTTGTGGTTTCATTTTGTTTGTTTGTTGGGTGTTTCGGCTTTGTGACTTTTGGTTTTGTTGATGTGGGTAATGTTGGAGCCAAAAATGCTACATCGAAGGCCAAATGCTAGAAATTCTAGTTTTAGTGTTGTTTTTGTTGGAAATGCAGTGAATATGTAGAGCAATGTAGGTGTTGGGGGGGTGCCATCCACATACACTACATGAAGAGTCCCTTTTTGGGCGAAGCAAAGATCCGCCCACGCTTCTCTTCTTGAAGAAATGCCCAAAGCGAGCAGGCTCGGTTCCGCCGAGCGGAAGGGTTGCGAATCGAACGGAAGATGCAAAGGCGCCGTGACGTCAGGGAAACCCGAGATTCGAGGAGGGCCCTGCAAAATCAAGTTTGGAGCTGGGGCAAAAGAGTCCGCGAGCGCACCGAACCAAGGGGTATAGCGAGTATGAAGGTCCCTTTCTTAGGGATTCCTTGTTTCCTGGTTTGGGCATCATATATGTAGCGTTTCCCCTGGTTTGGATGTGTCTTTTCTTGGGGTAAGCCCCCTTTTGAGGTTTGCGTAAAGGGACATCGAAAGGAGCAGCCATCCCTTGATGGTTTCCATATTCAACAAACTCATGCTGCTTACCCTTCCATGGCTTCACTGACGCCAAGCACTGACCAGTGCGCTTCCATATTCTCGCTGGTGCAAAGCTTTTGTGGCTGGGACCAAACTTCAGCTTCTGTTCAATCGGTGTGGGGTCTCTGTCCATGCAAAGTATGGCTGTGTTTTCTTCGGCTTAGCCGTGGCCCGAACAGCCGGGGGTTTTTCATTGGTTAAGACCCGAGAAACCGCGGCGCTTTGTGTTTCCAAAGTCGAAAGGCAAGCTTCGGGAGTTGGAACCGGATCTCGAGGAGGTTTGCGGAGCCTGTGAACTGAACTGAACATATTGCAAGCGAAGCTCACTGGTGACTGTGGGTCAAAGGCTTAGATTCGGCTTAGATCTGTGTTTGCTTCATAGGATCCTAGCGTTCTTATCGTTGCCACCCTGGGCTTCAAACTGGGGGTATCCTGGCGAGTGGTCTGTAGTTGCACAGACAACCCGGCAGAACAGTGTGGCACTTGCAATTAGAAGGCCCGAGATTACGCCGGCCACTGGCACTCTCATGTACCTCATTGCCTTGCACAGCAGTCCTTTACTGGAGGGTTTTGAACCACTCCAAGGCTTTGCATCAACTACACCACAAGCAAGCAACCCAGTTTTGTGATACTTGGGTCCTGTATCAATCCTCAAGTCAGGAAGGGCGGGCAAATGTCGCGCCCTTTGTCGAAGATTTGGATGCCGAGGTTGTTGGCTGGCAGCGTGCACGGCAGCGCTTGGCATTCTGATGGCCTTCTGGGCACCGAGGCGGGAGGTCCTCAACTGCCATGACTGGTGGTACCATCGGTTTTGGGTAGGCCCCTTTCATGTTGGTAGGTTTATGGGTATTGGTTTGGGTGATACCCTATGGGTTGGTCGGTGGCAGTATTGTCGGTCACTGTGACTGGCAATATTGTTGTTGGCAATGTAGCTGATTGCTCAATGGGGGGGAGAAGAGGTGACTCGGATCATTCGCGTTTCACCCACAACCTGGTGGAGGCGCGCCCTAGTTGTTTTCCAGGTCTGGGGATCACTTTTTATCGGTTCGAATAGAACCACAATGTAGACGAAAAGATATGAGCTTTCATTGGGGCCCGTTGGGGTTCTCACATTTCAGGCGGGTGTTTCTCCAAAGAGGGGCACGCCCAAAGATGGATGGTGTCCTTTTGATGCTATTATTGATATTATTATTGACCTGTTCTTTTTCTGGCTGTTCCACCACCCATGTAAGGTGATGGGTTTGGCCGGGACTCGGAGATGACATACAGGAATCTGAGCCCATCCCCGAGCCTTGCCCAGACCGCCGACTGCATTTGGTTTGCAATCACTACCCTCCTGTAGACTATCATGGAACCTGACTGAGGGGTCCTGGAAGATCATTCTTCCTTTAATAGGAAGTAACTGGTGGATTCCATGTTCATTGTTCTTGGGGAGGATAGGATTCGCCAGGTGGGCGAATGAAAGGATGTACCCAAGATGTGGAGCAAGATGGATGCTTCCGTCCATTTTTTTGGGTTGACTTGGCTAAGTCCCAGCCTTCGCAGGTTCTCAGGATCCGCTTTCCTCACAGCTTGCGCTACGGGTCTGTGTTTTCTTGTTTCTGATATGTTTTCAGAGCCCCTTTGTTTGCTGTTTACTTAAAGGGAGACTAAAGAGAACCCACCCACCTCGCTTCAAGCGGACACGGGGCCACTTCATGGCACGCCAGGAGCCGCTGGTGGTTCAGAGGAGCACTCTGCCAGTCGGAGGTGGTGCCAAAGCACTTGGCGGCCGGGGCAACTCAGAGCAGGGACCGCGCGGCAGGGGGTTTGCTTCTCGGTTTCTGATCCCATCACCCATCACGCTAGTTTTTTCCCCCCTAAAAGAGAAAAACAAATGTTTCCACCTTTGGGTTGCTTCGGGGACAACCTTTTGCTTGTTGTCTTTGTGTTGCCTTCTTTTTTCATGTGGGTTCGACTTGTGCTTTGCGGCGCCCCTTCAATGGTCGGACAACATGCAAAATTTCAAAATGGGCCTCTGTTGTTCTCAATCCCCGCAGATGGCAGAGTAATTCTGGTTTGGCTTAAGGTGTGGAAACCTGGCTCAGGTCGTGTTTGTGCCAGAATCTCCTCGGTTTTGAAGGGAGCATCATTGTGAACGTAAGCTGATTTGAACATCTGACTTTGCACTGCATGTTGTTTCAGGCAAACAACCCAACTGCACTCTTCGATGTTCACGCCTGCCCAGTCTCGAGAGTCGGAATGCAGGCTACAACATATCTCTGTCATGGGCGCTTATCCAACGCAAGTCACTTTGTAGCTGTCAATACACTGTATAATAATAATAATAATAATAATAATAATAATAATAATAACAATAGATTTATTAATGTGTCGATTCCTTGTAGGGGTTTCTTTTGTTTCGTCGCACACTTAGCCAGTAGCTGAGAGCCTGTGTGTGATTCAGGCCACCACTGACCCGTGCGCAACGGCGCAATCTCAATCAACCCCAAGTATAGCTAACACTACGATCTGCAAGCCTGCTATGCTTTTTGCTCGATGGGGGTTGGTACAATCCCTACAAAGGTCCTGGACAAATCCGATGGAAGGGTCACAAAGAGCTTAATCATAAGTCCTTTACTGGGAGGGATCTCTGATTTTTCCCGAATTGGCCGGGAGTTGTCGTAATTTGCCCAGATATTGATTTATCCTCAATGAATTTTGACAGGCGGGATTTTGAAGACCGCCTTCATCAACCGAGAAAGACAAGATTCAAATCTAGGTCGTATATAGGGGGGATCCCTCATTACCGGCTTCAGGATCATCACCATTCGCTCAGATGGGGGTTTGTATGATAGTTGCCATGGTGTATCCAGATCTCCGCCAGGTCTCGCTGCCTGTGATGATCATGGCCTGCCTCTTCTTCCTCCTGGGGTCTTGTCCTGAGTCGGCGCGGGTTGGTTCAAGACATGGTGGCAAGGCTGGTGTTAGGTGTCCATCATTTGTGAGAGTCAAAAGGAATTCCCCTAAAGTAATACATTCTGGAATAAAAAAACATAAGCCCACTTTGGTATCACAGATTTCGAGGCATGCTCCAGAACCCCAACCCAAGGAGCTCTTTCCTGAAGCTGTAAATCCTTAGTATGGGTGGGCATTCTTTTTGGCTACCCTTGAAAGGAAACCCAAAAGGATGTTGGATGAGCTACCTCCAACACACACACACACACACTCAAATGTCTCCGCCCACCCTCCAGGTGAAGTTGACTCCTCTTGGAGGCATGTCAAGCCCGTCCCAAAACAGGCGCTACAAGGACGACCCTGGCAGACGCAGCCAGTGCTTTCCCTCAACGGACGCCTTTCGGGGCTGCAGGGAAACACAAAAGCTCCGTCATCTTGGCGAATGTGCACAACCACTCTTTCACAGTTACTTAACTTGGATGAGGCATTTGCTGCGCTTGTTTCGTGGGGCAAGGCTGCCCTTTACCCAAGGTTTCTCTTTGCCCTTTGCTAGAATTAGACCAGCACTTCAGCATGACGACTAGAGCCTAGGGGTAAGCCTTTGTAAAAAGCACTGGACTCTTGCCAGAGGATTCTTGTTTGTGTGTTTGTGTGTTTGTTTCTTTGTTTCTTTGTTTCTTTGTTTCTTTGTTTGTTCGTGCTTTCAACGCCGCCTTTTTGTTGATTCTCTTGAGCTCACCCCCAGGTTTCAGAGTTTTATACTCTTTGGGCAAACCGTTTCAGTAGCAACCCACAAGTTAGGGGTTCGTTCCACCCAAGTGAGCGAGTCACATGTGAGGTCCAACTACCTTCTGATGGCTCAGACCTTTGTAAACCTGGAGCAGGCCTTCGTTTCGCAAAATCGGGCGACTTTTTTTTCCGGGCGGAGGCAACCGCCCCTTAGGGCACGACGTGGCAGGCAACCCGAAAGCTTCCAATCGAAATGCAAAGTTCAGATGCTAAACACCGACCCTCATGGAAACTCTTGGCTTGAATTGCCAACATTGTCAACATTTCTCCTTGTGACTTTGAAGCCCAGGTGTTTTTCTAGTACCTTCGCAGTACGGCGATGTCTTCAGGGGAAGTGTCTGGACTTTGCAACTTGGTGGCTCCCAGCCATCCGGTTCCTTAGGCTTTCAATTGTTTTGAGGTGGAGTGGAACTTAGTTTCCACTAAATTCCACTAGCATTATATGTATATATATAAAATTTAGATATGTATATATGTATACTGTGTATATCTAGGGGATATGAACACGGACAGCCCAGTGGGTCTCCCGCCATGCCAGGCCCCGAACTTCGTGTGGAATGCCTTCCAGGCGCGAATCGTAAGTCCGGGCCTGGGAGGGGCTGGGTGCTTTCCGTAAAAACTAGGGGTAGGCTTTGAATGGTTTGGTTTGAAGGAAGTTGCTATGTTCTGATGAGGTGAGTTGGTGATACTGGTTGGATGGCTTGAAGGGCTGCTTATAACTTGTAGCTATGTTTATGATAATGAAGAGTGACTGGCGCACCCTCCAAAGCTGGTTTGTTCTGAATGACTACCAAACAGGATGGATGCGTGTTTTTGTTTCGCTTTGCGCTGCCCGCCGCGGCCAGAACGGGCTAGATAGAACAAGAGCAGCAGTCAGAGAGCCGCAGAAGGGCGCCAAGCGAAGCCTGAGGGGCTATGAAAGGAATGACCGGTTTGATGGATTGTAGAGTGGATTTGACTGGTTTCTAGGGGGGGAATTTGACCGGTTTTTGGGGGGGACTGCGACCGGTTTCTATGGGGATTGACTGGAGGGGCCGGGAATTTGACCGGTTTCTAAGGGGAACTTGAGGGGTTTGTAGGAGATTTGACTTGGAGTTGGAGCGGTTCTAGGGCTTCAGAGGGGAATTTGACCGGTTTCTAGCGGGGATTTGACTGGTTTCTGGAGGGTGGAGGGGTTTTGTTGCTAGACAAAAAATTGCGCGGCTTCGGCAGCTGATGGGATGTTGGCCGCGGCATGGGTTTGGGGCAACGCCACCTATCGAAATAGCCAGATTTGAGCCTTATTTCTTGAGAGTAAATGGGAACCCCTATCCAAGCCACCAATTTGAGGGAAGCTAGTAAGAGAACACAGGATGTTTTGTGAACAAAATGCTGCGTTCATTACAAGCCCAGCGCCCCGTCTGGGTAGTTGAAGGCCGCAGGCTCCATGTTATTGAGTGCCCGCTTTGCTGGCGTCCATCCGCAGGAAATACGTTTTTGACCCGCGGTACCATTCGGAGGTTTGAATATTTCTCCTATAGGCAAGAATTTATGTTTTGAGGGGCCATGTCAAGACCCCAGGTAAAAGCATGTAAGGGATATGATTCAAACACCGGCCGCGCACATCTCTACTAGGAACCAGTCATATCATGTGGACGGAACAAATCACAATTCTTTGCAGGGATCACGTATGCTGGTTTGTCGTGGTCAAACAATAATCTTCCGACCACGAGCAAGCAAGCCGTGTTTCGAATGTAAGAAAAGATACGCCCTCAAGGGACTCAAGGGTTTTGCAACTGATGGCACCCAACGGAAGCTCCTGTTGCTCGAGTCCGCTTTGTGTTTCAGGTTGGTAGGTTTACTTCTTCATTCAGGTTCCTGAATTCTAGCGATTTGTTAATTGGTGCAATTGCGTCCTTGACTTTCGAGGGAACGATTGTTTGTACAAGGGCGGCCTCGTTTTACATTTTTGCCCTTCGCCTGACCATTTGACGCCTGATTGAGAAATCGTTTGCTGACCCAAGTGACACTTGCAAGCTGCTCGAGCAAGGGCCATTGTGTGGCTTGTTGCAGAGGCTTTGAGGTAGACACTCTTTGCATTTTAATGCCAGTTCCACCTGGCACGCCAGGCGCAACTTGCAGATGGGAAACCATGTGGTTTAGGGGTAGATGGCACTCCAAATTTGCAGTGTTCAGGTGATGGTGTACTCGCTCTTCTACTCGATTGACGCTCTCTACTACGAGGATGGATCAACTCCCCCAATGAACATGGAACCCCAAAATCCCTCGAGTTCTGGAGAAGTCTGCTTGGCCCGCCTTGTTTTGGGTTCCCTCGTGGTTTATGGGACTATACAAGGGCCTAAATACTTAGAATAGGGGGTTGTACGCTCAAACCTAATATTTTAGGAGTAAACATATGATTGGTGCCTTTTTGTTACATCATCTTGATGCCCTGCAGTGCCCTGCAAAGCTGACTTCCGCTTTGTTGGACCGCGCCTACCTTGAGGAATTTGTGTTGCAATAGTCTCTCAGCACTCAAGTAGGTTCGGTGTTCCGTTGCTTTCCACAACACCTGGAAGCTATGGGGTCTCTGCCCAGATAGGCTCTGGAGTGGTTTAGGGCAGCTCTTAGGGAGGGCTCCGGAGGGTTCCAGGAATTTTCTGGGGGGATACCACCATTTTCTTGAAGACAGATTGAAACATGAGAAGCGAACAAACATATTAAATGAGCGCAAAAGTGGCAAAAGTGGCTGGGGACTCCGATGGATCAGATCGAAAGTGGATCGAGGCGCACCTGCAAGCGATGTCTTGGGTCCTGCTCTGCTTCTCCGCCATCCTCCCGCACCTCGGTCTGCCTGTGGTCTGAGATGTCAACGGAGCGACAGCCATAGGTCCTTTGCCTGGGGGGTCGTGGCTTAAAAATGCTTGGGCTGGAGCACCAGATGGTTGGGAGGATCCAGTTCTTATTTCAGGTGTGGGCTCTTAAGATGCGCAGATGGAACAAACGAGCGATCAAATTGAGACTCCGCTTGGAGATTGTATATAACGTTGAAACATGACAAACTGCAGAAGTCGAGGTTATGAGGTACTGTAAATTGTGATGTTCTGTTGGAAAGCTGAGTTTGCCCTCGAAGTTGAAGGTTAACAAACCTCGCGGGTGTTGTCTTGGGTTTTGTTCGCTTCCTCTACCTTCCCCATTCTTTCCAGGCATCCGGAAAACCTCCGGAAACCCAGGGAAAACAACTGTTTATTGGAAAGAACGATGGTTGAAAATAATGGAAAAGGAATCAACCCCTCTTTAAAAAAAAAAAAAAAAAAAAAAAAAATTAAGCTTGGATGTTTGGCCAGAGAAAGTTGGATCGCTTTTTGGAGGTATGTGAAGCTGCTGCTGATGCTACTGGGCTGGCTGGCACCGAAGAACCTCTTGCCGCTCCGCATCCGCAGCTTCATCCTGGCACCCCTCGCCTGGTTTCGGATTTGTAGGAGAAATTGGCCCGGTCTTCCATTTGCTTAGTACGTTTTACTTGTCCCCTGTTGGTTTTGAAGGGAATCTATTATACACTGGAGTGGATCCGGATAAATTTGCAAAGGTAGTCTTCAATGTGTTTTTTACACTTTCCCTGTTGGTGTTAAAGGACATCTATCACTATATTGGACATAATAGTGTTATTTCTCAGGGGACCTAAGGAAAAATGTTTAAGGGGAAACCAAAAGGAGATCAACTGTTTTTAGGGACCACACTTTTGAGAACCCAATTCTACGCGTGTTTTGAGCAGGGTGGGAAGAATTTGTGGGTTGTAGGAGACCTCCAGTGGGGGGGGTTCACTTTTCTGTCTTTGAGGTGGGTTTTCTTGCAAAGTCAACCCACCCAAAAAAGGTCTGTGTGTGTGTGTGTTTGCCCGGACCACTGAGGATTGGGTTTCACCCACATCAACAGGTTAACGAGGAAAGCCCGACTTGTTGGGGAAGCAATGTTTCAAACTGGGCGAGTTTGGGAATCGGAATTCGCTGTTCAGAACCTTGGAAAGGAAAGTTGCAAAGGTCTGAACCAAGTTTGAGAGTGGTTTGAGGGAATCTCACTTTCTGTGTGGAAATTCGCCTCTCCGTTTCAGCTCAGTGACTTCAGCCTGGGTCGGGGGATTCATGTCACGCCTGGGAAGGATTCAAGACCCTATACCTTGCTCCAAAGTTCGACCCCCACGCAGCATGCTTGAGGGAAACAAATACGGGCTCCCGTCTGTGAATTCAGTCAACCCAAACCATCCCTGCAGAATGTCCCTCTAAACGAGTGTCTCCAACAACACTGACAATGCGAAACCTACACCCCCAACATATTCCACCGATCCACAAAGCGCCTATTCACAGGGAATTCCTATTCCCACACCCACACCCACACCTACACCCACACCCACACCCACCCACCCAGACAAGCAAGCATACACGCACAGAGGAATACACACGCAAGAGTGCACAATCATACACAGAGACACACACACACACACACAAACCAAAAGGAAGCCGCCCTTGTTCTTTGGCCTGGAGACAAACCCATCTACAGCCAGCGAGTTTGGGTTCTTTGCTGGACGAAAGAAGACTCACTCAGCTCTCGCATTTCAGCCTTTCAGCTTGTGGTTCCATTGGTGAGACCTACGGTCCCGATGGCAGGAGCCACTGGATGGAGAACCATACGCTTGAGACCTGCTTACGAACCCAACATGTCCACAGCTCTACACTCAGATTCACATGCCGGGACCTGATGATCTTTGGTTTGCCGCCATTGCTGGCCGACCTTCTTGCCACTTGGCCCCAAAGAGAGTCCTCTTGCCAGTGAGCTCATTTTGGAAGCATGGTTGCAGTAGACATGGATCAGGTCTGCGGAATGCATTGAAGCATTCCCAGTTTTTTTTTGACGAGGCTGTTTTGTTTGGTTGGTGGGTGGGTGGGGGGTGGGGGGGGGCACACCTTCTTCCGTGGGCATCCTCCCTTGAGCGAATCGGCGAAGCTTTCAACCTCACGAAAAACGAAGGCACTAAGGTGCACCCAAACTGCCGTGCCAGGTGCTGATGGACGACATCGGCAAGTTTTCGCCCGGAAGCCCGCTGAAGGGGTTGATTTGCGGTGAGGTCGGTTAGAACACTCTTCATTTGCTGAAGAGTAGTTGTTAATTTATCCTGTTGGTTTTAAAGGGAATCCATCACTACTTACCAGAGGAACTATGTCTTGTTTTTCCAGGGGACTTACCAGCAACACTCACTTGTGAGTTCCTCTTTAGGGTCTTCTCAAATAATTCGCCAGGCGCACAGCACGGTTAGCTCGGCAAGACAAACTGGACTTGCCACAGCGCTCACTCGCCGTTCTGATTTTAATGTGCCTGCATGAAAAGGCCACTCCACGTCAGATCTTGGGGCGGGGGAAGGATAGAAGACAACAGACCCGATTTTGTGCGGCAACCTGTTTTTGTGAAGAGGCCTGGCAAAGCTATATCTGCCTTAACACGACCCATACGACATGCCCTAGCAACGCTGTGTCAAGCGTTGGGCTCCTTCCTCATAGTGTGTCTTTGGATTACCCGCGTGGCTTGGCATGCAGGGACCCGTTTTCTGGAGTTCCCGCCTTCCCCCCCCCCCCTCCCCCGCATTTGGCGGGAGAGTGGGGAAATCAGCTTGAGGCTGGTGGATGTGTTCACGGTACAGATCTTGAGCGGCGTCTTCCATGTGGAGGTCCGGAACACGCATGGTGCCTTTCGTTTTTGTGTGATTGTGTGTTTGTGTCTGTGTGGTTGTGTTTGTGTGGCTGGGTGAGTGGGCGCTTTCTTGATTACTGGCTGGCTTGGTCACTTGTTGGCCTGTGTGTTTTTCTTGCGTGCCTTCCTGATTTGTATCAGTGTGTTTGGTCGGGCCGTGCAATGAACAAAACTTGCGCCAGGACCGTTGTGGGCACCTTTTCGGTTGCTGGTTTTCTTGACGTGTTTGTCAGGAAAGTCTGGCGACGCATTCCTACGACCCGCATCCTCTAGGCACCGTTCCACCTGAACCCTGTGAGCACAGTCATGCGGACTCATGACCTGCTCAGTGGATTCACAAGTCTGTCCCTTTTATATGCTGGACAGAACTAGATTGCATTGATACATGCATAGATTTCTTCACGGGCATAGGTAGTCCTGGCGAAAAGGGGATGTTGGTCTTGGCCCAACAGAGCATCACTCAGGTGGGCATTATCTCCATTTGAGATGGGATTCCTCATGCTTCGCATGGCTTTGGGTCAAGGTTCAAAAATAGCTACCCAAAATGGTTCAAAAATAGCTACCCAAAATGGTTCAAAAATAGGTACCCAAAATGGTTCAAAAATAGATTCCCAAGATGGAACCCTGGTAAATGGAACGAACCAAGGAAAGCCAGTGGTGCCCTGGTGGCTTGATTTCGACCCATACCCATCGCTGACTGCCGGCAGATCTTCGGTGAGCAGAACTTTCGCATGGCGCTGCGTACCCGCGGGGAGTTGGGCGCGGGTCACCCAGAGATGGACGAGGGCCCCCCGAATTTGGCCATGGAGTTTTGGGGGGCAAAAGTTGCAAACGTGCAAATGTGGGCCCAAAAATGGCTGGGGTCTCCAGGCATCCAGTATAGAGCATGAGGTCATGGACCTGAAATAATTGTGGGGTAAATATTGGCTGTTGTGTTTTCCCTGTGACCAGTGCTCAGGATGATGCATACTGACACCATTTTGCATAAGGCTCCCAAATTGAGAATCCCCCCTTTTTGTGATGAACTTCTGAACTTTTTGGAGGATGGTTTGAGGCAAGACACCAGAACGTGCAGGCTTGTATGATGTTTTTTTGGGAATCGAGTTCAACACACGGACACGCTGTTGAACCAGGATTCAAGGTTGCAAAGTCTAATCAGAGTTTGCCCCGAGCCACCTGTCAGAAGTTACAGTGAAAGCAGACGGCACAATTCTCGTCACCAGTCATCCCCTCCCACAATGCGTTCCAGTCGTACCCACTTTTGCCCTGTAGGCTTTCTTGGATTTTCCTTTCAGGGACATGTTTTGTTTGACCTTAAGTTTTGGAGCAATCACCCATTCCCGTGCTTGCTTGACGAGGGGTCCCCTTTCAAGGAATTGCCCGCTGCAATGTTCGGGTGGTTCCCCACGTCTCCAGTCGGTGGCTTTGCCTATGATCATGTTCAGCACCAACAATAGCAAAAGGAGAGAGGCGCACACCAACATACAGGCACACACACACACACACCACAGAGTTCTTATGTCTCCCTTTTGTGGAAAGATCATGTCCGTATGAAGAAGATGTTCCAAATTTACATGGTGTATTGTTGGGGTGGGAAGAAAGACTTAGAACACTTGGATTCCTGGTGTTGGGATTGAAGCTTTCAAGCCATTTTGCGCTGGCCAGTTGGTTTTGGGTGGTTTGCTGTGCCCGTTGGTAAATCTTTTGGATCGGTGGCAGCTGGAAGCCAAGGAAATCGCTTCGAACTTTTGACATGCAAAATGACAGCGCTGCGTGTACCCGCAGTTCCTGTTTTTGGCCACTCGAATCATTGTACTTGTTGGCCTCAGGCTCAACATGGTTGGTTTCGCTGTCATCAAAAGAGGAGTCCTTCTCGATTTGGCTGTAATGTGCCTGGTTTGTGAAGGTTTTACCTGACACATGGGCAAATTGGCAGTCTCTCCTTTTAGAGGGTCTTACAGAGGCAACCAACTGCCGTCCTTTCGGTTCTGAAGCCCGAATCAAGGACTCCAAGGAAACCGTACGACCGAGGCTTTGCCGCCTTTGTGTGTGCCACAGTGGTGTCCCTGGTGATTGGCCACCTTTGCAGGCGCTTGCGTGGCCCAGTGAGTGAATTTGTATGGTGTGTCCTCTTTGAGGGCACGCGCGATGTCGACTCCCTGGATTGAAAGGATCAACCGATCATAGGGCCCCTGTGCTTTCTAGTGGCAACTACATTCCTTCCAGAAACCAACAAAACAGCGGAAAAGATTGGACACCGCCCTTCGTGTTGTTTTTCCGGCTTTCTCCCCCCCGCAACTCCCAAAAGAGGGCAAAAGGCCACAGGGGTCCGACTCAAATTGTAGATTGTGGCTGTTTGGCTGATATACCTCAGCCGTGGTACCCGCTTTGGGTTGATTTAGGCAGCCCATCCTATGTCGAGGCAAATTTTATTTGGTGAAGGCCAAAGGGTTGTTTGTTTTGGTTGACCTGTTATGGTGGAGGGCATTTTGTTTCTGGTCGGCATGTCAGTAGTCAAAGACCGACAATATCTTTCCAGACTCAAGAATCTTCATGATTCCTTTCAGGATCAGTTGTTGTTTTTCCTCCCCAAGCCACGTCGAAGCTTGAACAGTGTACACAAGCGCACTTCTAGGCCGTCCCCTCTGTTGAAATTGGCCCGGGGGTTGTACTTATGCGGGGGCTGTGCCAGACCCTCGCAGCGCGGTCTGTCCTTGGGGTTTTCCCTCTTGTAGTTGTTGAAGCGGCATATAGCGGCATCCCCCTCATACGCCGTGTCCTCACTCCCCATGAGCACAACGGCTGTGACGCAGTCGACCCAGATAGCTTGTCGCGGACCTCGGGCGCTTGTTTTGGGAGCGAATCTTTACAGTGCCTGGCATTTGCTTCTCCAGTTGTTTGGTTCTGCATTCACAAGCTCGCCTTTTTTTTTCTCCACCCCAGGTGTTGTCCACAAGCCCAATGCAAGCCACTCATGCGGGCGAAGCCTCCATGGGATAAACGCGACAGGCACTACAACGAGAAGAGCCAGAAGAGTTCCCGCAGCCCGCTGGAGGAGCAGATCGAGCTCCGGGCGTCCGAGCTGCAGGCCGATGACCGAAAATGGAGAGCTGTGGCTCGAAGGGTTGGTTGGTTGGTTGGTTGGTCGGTCGGTTGGTTGGTTGGTTGGTTGGTTGGTTGGATTGTCAGTTGGTTGGTTGGTCGGTCGGTCGGTCGGTTGGTTGGTTGGTTGGTTGGTTGGTTTGGCGGTTGGTTTGTCAGTTGGTGGGTTGGTTGGTTGGTCGGTCGTTCGGTCGTTCGGTCGGTCAGTTGGTTGGTTTGTCGGTTGGTTGGTGGGGTTGGTTGGTGGGGTTGGTTGGTTGGTGGGGTTGGTTGGTTGGTGGGGTTGGTTGGTTGGTTGGTTGGTTGGTTGTTTGGTTGGTTGGTTGGTTGGTTGGTTGGTTGGCTGGCTGGCTGGCTGGCTGGCTGGCTGGCTGGCTGGCTGGCTGGCTGGTTGGTTGGTTGGTTGGTTGCACTGTCAAAGAGTTAGGATGATCATTCTAGTGGTATCCCGTAGACTTTTAACCCATCATCAACTCAGGACATGTTTAAATCGTGCGTTGAGCAGGTGCTGTGCGCCAATCGCGGGTGGCCATCGTGAAAATAGCCTTCCGCGGTTTTCTGCATGGGCCCCATGGGGAATTTAGATTCTGAGTCCTTGCTGGTACCGTGGTGAATCAAATTCTATTGCCTTCCGGGGTAAGGAACAGTGTCGCGACCTTGGAGATTAACTCAACTTGTCAATATAGAAGCTACTAGGTGGCAGTTACAATGGTGAAGCTTTACCCTCCTGACTTACATGAAACCGACCAAAGGGCCACTCTTACAGGAAAATGGTCTTCCAGGACCCCAGTCAGGTTCCCTGGCAACATAGGTGGGAGTGTGCGGCTGTGGCGAGCTCCAGGTTGAATTGTGCCCCGGCGATTTGGGAGTGTCTCCAAATCGGGTTTCCCTTTGGCTTCCCTTCAAACACCCAATTGTTTGGGTCAACCCCCATGGCTGTCTTCCCTTTTGGTTCCCTTCAGTATCCCAAAAAGGAAGCATTTAGCCCACCCCCGCGTGGTTCGCCAGGCCGAAAGCCTGGGACAGCCCTTGTCAGGCCTGACGGCCCGAGGAGAGGTCGAATGGGCTGGATGATGAATGAGGATGTTGATGGCCCGAATATAAATTATCATATTGTTTATATATATATATAGAATGGGATTGTGGGGTAATCAAGCAACTTAAGTCATGATCATCAAACGACCAAGAGTGTGTGTTATTGACCTCACCTCAGATGACCAGTGTCGTACTTATTGGTGATGCCAAGCTAGGGGTAAACAGTTTTTTAATTATCATATATATATATATATATTCATGATGGAGGTTTTGCGGCGAATTGCTGAACTCAGGTTGCAGAATATAGAGCTCGTAGTGAGTCCGCCCTTCAAGGACAATGAAAGGGCCAAATGCTGCACGCCATTATCCTATTCTCAAGACCATAGGTGTCCTTTATGACTTTTTTGGTAGACAACAGATGGCCCTGGTTGACCTGGTTGTTTCATACTCTACCAAGAAAGTCTATTTTCCCTAAAGGACACCTATACTCAAGACTAGTAACTTCAGGTATCCCACAATCCCATTCTAGTTGTGTCGCTGACCAAATCAAATGCGCGACAACAGAACGGGTTCTCGATCTCAGGTGCTGATGCGGATTTACAAGATGGTGTAGCTTACATTTTCCTAGGTGGCCACCTGTGCACTCCCGCAAAGGCGACACAAGTTGTATCATGAACGGATCATTCAGGGTCCCGTTTAAAGAGTCCATAAGTTGTCCAGCCATACGTGAGAAAGTGCGAGCCAGGCAATGCTTCAGCGCGGAACGCGAGCTGGCGTCTGGGCAAGTCATGATTTCAAGAGTTCCTGGGGGTGACTTGACATTGGGGTGCGTTTGAATTATGGTAGAATCATGGCGCCAAAAAAGCGGGGCCAGTTCCGCTCCCCGTGAAACCACCCGAAAAGAGGCGGTTGTGGTGTCCAATAAAGCAAAATAGTTGTAGCTTTTATCAAGAAAGGAAGCCCAGTGTTTCAAGAAAGGCGCCCCAGTTTCTGTCTTTCGGCACTATTTTTGAGGGGACAAAGGAACCACCGTTTCTGGTAAGCTCGAAAAGGAGCCGAAGCCCGGCCCGGGGGCTGCAGGCTAAACCAGAAGGCCCTTAGCGGGCTCCAGGTCCAGCGTGCAAACCTTAGGGGTGGACCACCACTTTGGCTCAGCTCGAGATCAGGCTCGATGTTTGCAAATGAATTCCGATGTGATTCGGGCCTCGCTTCGATTCCCCGAGGTCTTCTTGGCGCGATTGTGCGCAAATGGCATGATCTATAATTAGGTTCATCTCTCTTGTCTGGCAATAGCCTTCGACTGGCCCGGGTTTATCTTACCCATTTGGAAAAAGAGGAGCAGAAGTTTAGGAACCCTCACGTGAACAGGAGGGACATGTAATGGCTTTGAGACAATAGACTCCCGAACTCCGAACCACCCCCAAGCGGGGGTCGACTAAAGCGGACCAATCCTGCGTTTAAAACGTGCTCAGCACGCTGAGAACTCTAGCCTGTGTTGTTGGCGCGTTTTCAGTGCGAGCTGTGAGCGCTTAACGTTTGGGGTCACCTCCAACGTGTGATCAGTGCGATGTCAGCAGGCAGTGTGCACTGTGCTGGGAGCAAGAAATAGCCGTCAAACAAAAATGCCAACCCCTGGTGGCTGAGCTTACCAGCAATTACATCTAAGCTTCCCTCCACATGGCCACCTGCAATGCCACCGAACCTGTCTTTGGTATTTGTTTTCCCATATGGTCATTTGTTTTCTGGCCGGTGGCCGTATTTGGCCGAACGCAGCCCATATTTTGTCAACAACATGTTGACGGACACAAAGCCGCGAATGACAGTCTGCCCACTCTTTTGCGGCCCAGCCCATATGGACAGAAGAACGTTGGCAATGTCACAAATGGGTTGCCAGACGGTTTTTGTTGCTGGATCCGTTTTTGACACTATCCGGTCCAATGAACCCGCCACAGGTGATCGATGTGCTTTTTTCGAGAGAAGGAGGCTCTCCCTTGCCATCCGATGGGTTGGTGTAAGCTCCAGGAACCTAGGTATTTGCCCACTGAATTTTGTAGGTTTTTCAAGCAAATCCTATGCCAAGGAGCGAGAGCCTCATCGTGCCTGCTCTTTGGCTGACGCTGGCTCTGAGCTTGGCAGGTCCGAGTGGGGGTTGCGGGCCAACACTCATAGGCGGCAAGGAACCGTTTTCCCTGGAGATCTAAAGCAAGTCCCTTGCCACCTTGAAATAACACAAGCAGAAGCTGTTTGAGATTGCCCCAACTGCGGGATTTCCCACGCCACGTGTTGTTTGGCGGCTCTTTGTGCTTGCCTCAATGCTGCCGATGTATGGGTGTGTTGCACGAAATGCGGAAACCACCGAAATGGGAGGTTGTTTCCTTTTCGATTTTTTTTTGCCCACACTCAACAAGGCCTAGCGCGCGCTTAAAGTGGCAAAACACATATTATGTTCATGAAGATTACAATGAACGTTTCAACTCTATGGGGTCTCTTTTCGTTCAGCAGGCGATAGATTACAAAAAGCAACGCCCCTGCAGAAACATGCTGAGACCTGGGGAACGACAGGGATCACAAAACATGACATGAATACATGCTTGACACAGACCGTGGCTCGTGGCTCACGTATGCTTAAGAAGCTCAAGCTCACAATGGAGGCGTGCACTTCCTCTCTTGCGCTGTTTGGGCTCGTTTCTGGATGGACTCAGCATGCAGCAAAGAGCTCGAGCCAGTCTGTTGGAGCTTGTGCAAGCAGCCACTGCTTGGGTTTGTGTTCTTGTTGAATGCACTCCCTTTATGGGTTGGTTTGACAAGGAGACCAGCCCTATTTTGACACATGCCGGCTCAGACTTCAAGTAGCCCGTCTTGTGCATGTCGTGGTCATTTGCTTCCTTCCTGGCCACATCCACAGCTTCCACGTCTCAGCCCGGGATGAATGATTTCCTTTTGGTTCCCCTGAGACATCGCGTCCAAAACGGATATCTCAAAGGTAGACGCACGCTCAATTGGGGGACGCGGGCCTATGAAGCCTAACTAGGGATAGTTATTTGAGGTTAGAGACACTGGGTCCTTGGTCTTTTGGGCCTTTTATGCCTTTTCTAAAATAGGAGTATATCCGTCACAATGGCCTTTCAAATATCCTTACACTCCCCTTACCGTTTTGGAGAATGACCGAGCTTGTTCCTCCCTCGCTTTCGGGGAGTCACTGCGCTGCTGTTTTTGGAAGCGCCAGGATGCATCCTACCAGCTGCCTGGCATGATACGGAGCGTGTGTCCGTTTGGTTTTGATTTGGTTTGGACGGAACAAGAGGTTAAGATCAGTTGTTGGCTTGGACAGAGATTAAGCAGCTTGTTGTTTGCCCTTGGTTGGCACGGCAAAAACGGTTAGGCAGCCTTCGGGGAATTGTCAACCCTAGGGCCTTTTTGTTGAACGGCAGCGACAAATCAAGTGCCGCCTTTGAAGCGGAGGCCGATGGCGAGTGCAAACGGTCGCCTATGGAGTAGTTTTGCCAGAGTCGCACCGAGTCGGCTCTGCAGTGGAGAATGTGCAGACTACCGGCACGTGTCCAAGCAAATAGGGGCCCCGGATTGTTGGTTTAAGTTGGTTTTGAAGCGAAGCAAAAAGAAGCCCAACCACCTGGAGTGCTTAGCCGGCGACATATATAGGTTGCCGCATGGTTGAGATGCGCAAAGTGATGGTTCGAATTGACCCCGTCGCGGATGGATGATGGGCATGTTCATCATCCACTAAAGCGGTCTTTTCAACCAGAAACACTCAACACGGGGGAATTGTTGGTGGTGCAGGGGTACCTTGTAGTGCTACCCCAAGAGGCCGAAGATCGGATTGGAACTCCCAAGCCTCCTTATCCTTTATTTTGAGCCCAGTCTTTGTGCCATCACATGAGTTTCCTTTGATGTCATTGAAATCTAGCCACCCCAGTTCATTAATGGAGGGGGTTCCCCTCCAAAAGTGATGATTCCCCACTAAACCCAAGTTGACACCCCCAAAAATTCACTTGATGAGTATGGGGTCAACAAAACCCCCCAGCTTCCCCAGCATGTTTTATGTGTCAAAAGCTGGGCCCTGAGGCATACTCGGTGCATTTGAAGACCATCTTCGGGCCGCTGGGGCAGTCTCGGCTCTCACTCTTCCAGCTCCCCGGATTCGACTGGACTCGATGCCGAAGCGACATGCCTCGTCTTTTTGGTATCCCTTTTTTGAAGAAAAACCAAAAGGAAAACCGAAGCCAAACAGGGTGGTTCCCGAGAAACAGGCACACCCAAATGCTTCTGTTTGCTGTTGGCTTTTCTTTTTTTTGAGAGAGCAGTGTGATGGTGCCCGGGTTGAAAAGGGAAGGCAACCAGTTGGGGCTTCCCTGTTTGGAGACAAAATGGTTGTTTCACAAACTGGATTCCCTCGGTTTCCTTCCAACAACACCAAGAAGAGTACCGGCAGAAAAATACACCCAAATACTGTAGGACAGTCCATTTTGGGGATATGTTCACCTGGAATCCCAGATTTTGTAGAAGCACCCAGTGATCTTGACTGAACATGTATGTGTTTAGTGGCAACAAGGCCCAGGCGAGCATTGGTGTCAGCATTGGGTGTCGGTTGTGGGTTTGCGTTTCAGTTCCAGGTGGCAATGTTGTCGGATATATTCATGTCATGAGCTTTTGTGCTCATCTTTACAGTTGTGCAAACAGCAGGGCAGAAGATCAAGCCCCTGGTGCAGCATGGTGGCTTTGTGGCATGTGTACCTCAAGATGTCATTTGCCAGTGACAAAGGGGTCGGTGGCCAATAAGTTTCCCTGCTCTTGGCGTTCAGTGTCGGTGGGTACATCATTGGACCCAAAAGGAGGCAGGGGTCAACTTGTGTCTTTTGATTTTTCAAGCGACCTCAATGTCGTCCAAGGCATCAAGCCTATCTCATCCAGGAAACAAGGATGGAACACCAAACGACACATGGAACACCGAAACGCTGGTGGTTTACCCCTGAACTTTGCCAGAATTCACTGTTCCGTGATGGTTTTTACCCCTTAACCAGCCCCCAATGGAAAACAAGAGTGTACAACCAGCACATGTGCATACACCCCATGTTGTCTTGGGTAGTAATTCAGCGTGTCTTTTCCATAAGCTGAGGTTCGCCTGCCCACAGCAAGATATATAGATAGGATTGTTTGAACATTTGGGTGACCCTCAAACTCACTTTTCAGAGTTTTCCTTTAATTCACACAAACAGTGAGTTCCAGCGAGCATTTAAACAACTAGCAAGACCTACCTCCAACCTTCCTTTTGTTGTGTTTATCTTACTTGTCCAAAGCTAGCGAATTGCCTGTTGGTTTTCCCAAGTTGGTCTACTTGAAATCAGTGTTCAAAAAGTTGAACCTTGGATTCCCCCTCCTCTGGGCAGATTGATGGAATCCACGGGTTTGAGCTTGTTTCTACCCGTTTACAGCACTGTCAAATGTTCCAAAAGGATGCCCAGCCACACAGATGACGTAGGTAGTTCATGGTAGTTCTGCCTGGTGTCGTGGGGTTATGAAGCCAAGCCTTTTTAGCCATGAAACTCTGGTTTTGGGCGCTCAGAGGTTCGCGTTTCTGCTGCCATCCTTCGCGGAACATCCCCTTGCATGGACCTCCCTCTTCAACCAGGACGGGAAGATG